ATGCACAACTGCTTTCATATTTTGATGGTTCTGGGGGATTTTTTGGTTCTGTAAATTATATTGGGTGGTGTGTGTTGCCGTCAGGTATCCAAAGGGTTTTGCTGATGGGCGGCTTCCACGAAGATCAACATTACACCGGGTGTGCGGTTACATTCATCAGTGAAACCAGTTCACAACTTCGACAATTTGACAGCATGTGCTGATGCGTGGCTTCCTCGAAGATCGACGGTACACCTGGTGTGATTGCTTTCATGAGTAAAACCAGTTCACAAGTTGAACATTTTGACATTGGTCTCAAAGGAATACCTGAGCATAGTGGGCTTGGATCCATGGACGTCGCTTTCCTGCAGTTATCACTTGCCCTTGCTCCTCAGTCCTCCCCAAGAAGTTTTCTAACTCAATGAACGACAAACCCAAGTTTTTCACATATACCCATCTTCATTGCTTCTTCCTGACATCCCAGCAGTATGTTTCAAGCGTACTGCAGTACACGAGTTTGTCCCCATCAATGCTGCACAGATGCAGAGCAAAGGAACCTTGCCAGAATGGCAATGTTTTCGATGCCACTGGCAGTGGATCCTGGCAGTGGACAGCATCGTGCGTGCATCAATACGACCAGGTGGTTCCTTGGTGCGTCGGGCTGAGGGTGTCTGCACATCGATCTTGGCTGCTACGCGCGCACGTGCCCAAAAGCAAGTGTGATGGCCGCCGAATCATGCATCATGAGTTAAAACCCGAGGACAAAATAGCCGCTGGTAGTGGCCTGCAGAGCCTCCCTCAGTTTTCGAGTGTTTGCTGCACGTGCACTAGCGAGTGCTTTTGATATCCTGCCAACAGCCGCCATTATCCTGCAACGTGACGACAACACTCAGTCAGTGGGGCACCGCAGTGTCACGACCGCTCAATTGGAGCACGGGCTTAATGTGCGCCTGCAAAGGCACGCCGGCGCTGACTCGTTGACACCAACTGCTGTGCGTCCTTAACGACGCGGGATGAGCACTTGCAGTGTTCGTCATCTTCTGCCAATGTCGTTTACCTGAGGGTTTTGTCTCTGGGTGACGGAGACGTCAACATTGGAGGGCATCCAGAACGGGAGGCGCACCGTCTCCTGCGATTCACCACCTCTTCGATTGTTTGCAAGGCTGGCACATGGCGCGTGGTTTGCGGTGTCGTGGCTAATATCGCCAGCACGTCATCCGGCCAAGGAGCCCCGGAGGCAGCGGTGTCGCAACACTCTCTGTTGACAAGCTTCGCCATCACGTCTTCACGAAAGTGCTTTAAAGACAATCCGCCCAGGACTGGCTCATCGTGAATGATTTGCATAATCTCAGCCACTGGTTTCCCTGAGAGCACACAGCCCAAGAGTCATCGACATTCCAGGGTGTCATGTGTGACGGTGTTCTCTGTGGATCTGTAAAACGGCCCCATCAGCACCTACTGTGGGAACTATCATTCCTGGACGGCACTCAGCCATTGCTGTTGTCCATCACTCTCGATGATTCTGTGAACATCTCAAGGGATAAGGGCCAACAATGACGGTGAAGAACAGTGTGTATAACGTTCAAACGACGGAATCAGCGCTCTCAACCCCTGCAAGAAGCGCTCCAGACAGCAGCGCACCCACCTTTATGGATAAGGTGCTCCTGCGCGACACGTGCCATCTGAGGGGCTAATTCTTTTGCCAGCCCCACCGCAAGATCGAAGCACTGCTGGGGAGTCGACTGCTCCATTGTGCAGTCAAAACTGGAACCAAGACTGCCCTCTGATCTTTGCACGATGCTGGAGTCTGCGGCAGAGCTACCACATTCACTTCATCCTTTCGGCATCCCTGCCTTCCGCCCCAATGTCATTTCATACAACCAAAGGGGCTTCGGATCAAGGGAGCCCAGCACACACGGTTTTAGCATGAGCAGCGAAGGTCAAGCTGAATGACATCATTGGGACAACGAAATGGTGATTCTACTGGTTGTGCCAGTTGGTCTAAGTACGCAAGTACAATTTGGATACCTGCAGTACTCCTGTGCCCATCTACTACGCTGCACATCCACAGGAAGAAAAGACGTGCATGTCGCACAAATGCTTGACGGTCTTCCAACAGTCGTATTGCCGACCGCAGCCACTCTCGATGGAGGTGAAGGCGGTGGGGGTCCAGCGCCAGACTGATCTCGTACGGTGATAAAACCTGGGCAAGGGATGATGTGCAAACATTTCATGATTCGTGATTCACACCCTGCTCGAAGTTCCAGTGACTGTGACAGGACTGACATTTACAGCCTACAATGGACCTGTGCTCTTGTAGGCAACGTAGAGCACAAGCAAAGACAGCTCGTCCAGTAGATAGCTACAGGAATCGCAACAAATTGTTCTGGCCGCTAGCACCACAATTGACAGCAAGGGACCCCACTCGCATTTTTAGCATTCTCTTTGCCGCTCATCTCCAGTTGTAGAGCCGCTATCTTCCTGTTCAGTTTCAGTCTGGAGTCCTGTAGGCTGGCAAGGCGATTCAGCGTAGCCTCTGTCCGGCCATGCAGCCACAGCGATCGGTGGGACAACAATTCCAACAATTCCCATCCGCCTTTGTGGATAGATGTGTTAGTGCAGCCTCTCAATATGGAGGCTCCTTGGTCACTTGGTGGCGGAAAGTCTGAACGAGGTTCCTGCAGCAAATACCAGTGGCATCGGCGGAGTGAAGCAGCAGATTGTTGCAAGGAATGGGCGTGCACCACCTGGTGAGGGACATGGTCGAGTGCTGACACCAGACTGCTGCAATTGTTCGAGTTTGTAAGTTGGCCGCAATGCCCAGAATCTGATAAACGAAGACTCCACGTGCGTTCACAGCTGGGCCACGCATTAGGAGCTGAAGGGCTACCGTCACGAGTATCAAATCGCTGTTGTCACCCCAGTGATGGGATTGCTTGGCAAGCGCTTTCAAAACCAAAAACACTCGTTTCAGCATCATTCTGTATTCAGTCATTGTTTATGAATCATTTCTTCATAAGGACAAGTCACTGCCATTCCGCAATTGGGCATGATGGGCGCACTTCCAGGAACATGATCTCCAGAATGTTGTTTTTCTCTGCGCACACAACCGCTTGCATTGATACTCTATTCATGGCTGACGCTAAAGAACGGAAGCCAGCAAGTCAGCTAACAATATGATTGCCAAGAAAGAGAGAAGCGCAACAGCAACGCAACAGTGGGCTACAAATAAACTGCTCTATCATGGTGCTTGGGGTGGCGAAAATGGTAGAGGAAATCTTTGCCGTTTGTGTGGCCCTTTCCACACAACTGGTTTTCGTACCAGCGGGTAAGGAGGAAGCCAACCAAGCCTTGCCACATCAGACAGCCTGCGTCTCAGTGAGTGCTCCAATGCATTCGACTTCAAGATGTGCCAAGACAGGCAAAGGAGAAGTTCGCGGCTGCCCACTGCAGGATTTGTCAAACATGCTGCTCTGGGGTAGTGTCGGTCGAATGCATGACGTATTGCCAGTGCCCTGCCTAGTCAGCAAACATGCACAAGTTCTTTGCCCCCCATTTACCTCACCAGCAACGAGACAAGTACTGTGATATGCGTTTTGCAATCGAAATGAAAGTTCCGCTTTCATTTGGAAAATGTGGCTGACCCGTTTCTTGACATGCAGTCATCTGGGAACCTCAGATAGCCCAATTGTGACTAATGAAGCAGATAACCATGGCAGCATGATTCTTGTTGGAAAACAAACGGGAACATCGTAACGAGGACGCCATCAAAACACAATCAGGTTTAGGGGAAATACGCATCAACCAGTACGATGTCAATTCTTTCCAGTACGTCCAGTTCTTTGAAAATGAGTCCAGAAACGTTGCTTGTGAGGAGTTGTTGTGTGCGAGTGGCAAGCAGACCACCTCATACATTCAGGTGGAACAGTTGAGTCTGGTCTTTCTCGATCGACGGCCTTCCACAAGTCGCGCAGCCCAGTCCCCGCCTCCTCTGGGAACCCGCACATTTCCAACAGAGAAATGTCGTGCAGGCTCCTCCACATTTTCCGTCCCTGCACGGATGGGCAAAAGCTCAACGCGTTCCGGACTGGGTGCAGGCTGCTATCTCGAGCAAACCGGACACGGTGAAGCAGAATCCATCGGTCAACAATCTGTGGGATTTTCCAGTTCCAGTATATTGATGGGACTTGCTCGCGTGGCTGCTCGCATTGTCGTCCTGGGCGCAAGTCAGAGCCAAGCAAGCCCCGACATTGGACCGAGCTATGGGGTTTTGAAGGGTCTCGTGCTCCTTGAGGGGACGCATGTCGAACCAAGCATGCCCTCGGCCCAACGCAGCCGACCCCTACCGCCGCAGCATCGTTGTACTTGGCTTGCCTCAGAGTTTCTGGTGTCAGGCCGCTGGCACCGAGACGATCCAGCGACTGGCACACGTAGCTAAGAGCGGCTTTAAGGTCGCCCTGCGACGCCAGGCGATGCCCCGCGGCCGCCATTTTCGCTTCCTGGCCTTGGCGTGAGCTTGGCGAACGCCAGGGGGGTGGTGCGCTGTTTGCAATCCGCAAGCGGTGCAGGCAGCCACACAGCCTGGGCTCCGTGCACGTGGGGAACAGGGACTCCTTGCACAATGCCAGATGCCAGAAACGCAGAATGCCAACTGCAAGCATTGCATTTCTGTCGTTGGACTGCGGTAATGGCCCATGCGGCCATTAAATTGTCTCACGCTCGTCCTCCAGAAACGAGTCCCGTGCTGGTGGTCTTTACTGAAGCCCCAGACCAGAGGCGTGTGCAGTGATATCGAGATCCTGCACTCGGGCCCCTCCTGTCGGGAGTCTTCCAACCGAGTCGCGCAAGCGCTGGTCTGCCGGGCGCCAAAGAGCCCGCGGCAGGTGGCCTCGGCTGCTGGGTATATGGTGGCCCATTGGTGCCCCACGTTCGATTCGACTCACCACATTGCAAGGAAGTGACTCGGCGCTCCTGCCGGCCCGCGCAGCCGCTGGTCTTAAGGAATTGAGGATTCAGAATATCTGGGGGAATCGAAGGGCATGCGGGGAGGAGTCCTGTATTGAGGCAGTGACGGAAGGGCCATTTTTCCGTCGATGTCTCTGATAGCGCCGCGAATCATGGAGACACGGGTGGGATGGGTCGCAATGCCGCTCGCCAAAGCGACAGGTGCGTTTCGACAGCTCCTCTCGGGCTTCTCAAAGGCATCTTTTCATCGCATGGAGTGCCCCAGTCTAGTGCGCTGCCACTTGAGAGCTAGGGTAGTCCACACAAGGGACGCCAGCATTCCATGTCCTGTCCACTGCAGATGGGCACAATCTAAAGAGCTTAACACAATGTCTAAAAGCACAGTGGATGCTTGCTGGGAAGCTAAAAGGGAGGACACGGTTGGAAGGAAGCTTAGTTTTCTTTTCATCATTTTTTGGAACAGAACAAGTGTTCCCCATGCAATTGGTCGTCCCACTGTGAATTTGCATATATTATTTATATGCGCTATAGTCCATGATACGGCTGATGCTACCAACGAAACTTGTGCATCCAAGCCACTGCACCTTTGAAACAGAATGGTGCATCGGGGAGGCAGCAAATCATCTGCTGGTGGCATGCCATGATAAAAAGTACTCTACTGTAGTCCCCAGGCCCCAAAGCCAATCACCACACTGTAACTGATGTTGAACTACACTCAATTTAGTGCCGCAGGCTGCAGCTCTCCACGAGACCATTGGTGCTAGGAACGATCACACGAATGTGGCCATAAGACATCCTCTACAGCCCTGCAACACCCATTTATAGTACTGGTGCGTTAGGCCAATACAAGATTCATAATGGCGGGCAGGATGGGAAGTAGACCTTGAGGATATGCAGCCAAGGTGTTGATTGCAAATTGGATGCCCTTTGCTAGCTTGGTCTAATTTCAAGAGTCCTGCTTGTTTCCGATGTTGAGCTTCAAATAACACACCAGCCCTATGGATGCAGTTGAAAGATAGTCCACTGACTGATATGTGACATAGCACAGTTGCTTCAACAATCCACATCCTTGTCAACTGCAATCTTCAGAAGAGCTGAGGAGGGGTGGTGAATTGAGAATTTTGGCTGGGTCAAGTATCTGCAGTGTTAGGTACTCTCCACAGTAGTGGCAAATGGCACATGCTGACATAAGCTATTGACCTCACCCGTTTTGTCTTTGTGTGACAGATTGGAGGTGCATTTCTGCACAGCACCCCACCCCAAGTGTGGGCTCATCCATTGAAAGGAGCAATGAAGTGTGCAGACTGCCAGAGCACTCACTCCATTCCAGGGGAAAACAAGCGTCCAAACTTTTGTTGGAATCAACCATGCTCAGAGTTCATAATGTGCAGCGGAATGGAAATTCGATGCGAATATCGTCTGGACCAGATGCAAACTGTGATCTTGTCAGTCATGCTGATGAGAAGGTCACCATCGACACAGAAATAATCAGGGAAAGTGAGGTTCCCATGAGTGGAACAGATGGCAACCAATGCGAGGACAACCTAGAGAAGCCGAGGCTCAGCCGCCCAACTCCAAGAGCACATGTAAAAGATGCAACAATGGAGCCTGACGGACTTCCTGCAATCATTCGGCCAGAACCCAATGCCTATTTAGGAGCTGATCGCCGAGATGGTTGGGATGGTTTGGGAGATATTGGGACGCTGCGTCTGGGTGGTGTGCTGTTTCACTCACGTGATGAGGTTTTCCAACGTTTTGGTGAGATTCAATTTCAGTTTTACAACCTGGCTGTGCTTGTCAACAACTGTTGGCGAATGATATATCATTCACACAGCAGACAGCGAGTTGGTTTTGATCTTGCAAGCACTTTATTCCTACTTTTCCTTATTTCAGTGCTTAGTTGCATGCTGAAATGCTTCAGAGCCGTTGGAAGATTGGCTGCTACTGAATGTTCTGAGGCTTGCTATGTGTGCATATCATCTTAGTGTACAGGAGAAAATGGGACATCTCTCAGAGTTGACATCTACAATTGCTGTGGAACTGGATACCAGTGGGCCAAACATCTGACATCCTGATATTCTGTCGTCCTGATGCTGCAGGAAACCTCTTGCATCACACACGGATAAATGACAGAGTCCCTGCTTTTGAGCAAGATTTGCTGTTGGAGCTGGTCAAGAAAGGCCATCGTGCACCCAATGAGAAAATAGGTGTTGGCGTTGATTATGTGTGGGTGGGCCGCCATGCAGAATGGAGAGGGCAAAGATGTTTCATGTTGCACCGGTTTGATGGGACTGACATTGATTTTTCCTACCGGAAGTGCATCAACAACTTGTTTCTGCAACAGTGGGAACTTGGCGACCTACCCCCGCTAGTTCAACTAAGGAATGATGCCAAACGCTACATGGTATGCAGGCTTTTTATATCTGTGCAGTACCTTCACAAGTGCTAAGATATATGTCAGTGTCTGTGTGTGCATTTTCCTGACTGTGCTGCAAGGTTCTATGTGGTGAATCAGTGGCAAAGGATGTATGTTTGTTGCTGGTGAATGCTCGGTGTTATCACATTGGCTTTGGAGCAAGGCTGAGAAGGAAAAGCAGCCATGTGACACAAGATTTGAGCTCTGTCTATGCACTCAACGTCTCAGGTTCCGTAATGGACGGGCAAGTTCTATGAATTGCATCATGGTACCATGATACACTTATTTTCCAGCTGCTTCCTGTGCAGGGCTTGGTGAGGCACAGACCTGGTAGCTGGAGCCTGAGGGAAGGTGTGGATGTGGAAGAATTCAGAAAACACACCAGGGCGATCTTCAAAGCTGTCTTTTCTGTGCTTGAGACAATCAGTGGGGAAAGGCAACGAACAGCAACAGTCCTAGCGATTGAGGCTCTGGGCTGGACAGCACTTGCTAACAAGGAATTGCGGCCACAGATCCTGGAGCATCGGTGCTTCCCACGCCTGCTTGCTGATGCTGCATTGATAATCGACGAATTGCAGATAGACGAACTGGGAGATGCTGTCCTGCATCTCAGTGCTCTCAGTGAAGATGCTCATGTTTTAGAGTTGATGGAGCACTTGTCAGTGAGACTGATGGACTCTGTCAACCAGATGCGGGTGGTTCCCATAATCCAGCTGCTGAGGGCCTTTGCCCAGACTCAAATTGTGCCGAAAGCTATATCCCTGTCGCAACTCATGCTAAGGCTGGAGGTGACAATTCAGAAGGAGATGATTCCTCTGTACCTGATCGGAGATTTGATTTATGCTGTCACAAAGCTGGGTCTGCAAGGACAGAGTACCATGGACGTCCTGGGTGGTCGTATTCGGTGGTCAAGCTTTGTGAATGTCCCATATCAAGTCACGAAGGCGTTCTGCATCATGGCGAAAGAGGACTACTACCCGAATGAAAGCCTTGCGAATGAGCTGTGCGACTTGGCATGCAGCCAGCAGGAGCAGCTCCCTTCCTACTTTGCAACATGGATCTGGACGTCGATTGTTGCTCTGCGGCACAAGCTGCCACCTGTGTTGCTGAAGAGATTCCTGGGAATAGTAGAGGAAAGGTTGAACATGTTTTCTGCATCTGATTTGTCTAAGTGGATCTGGGGGCTTGGGAATCATGGGCTGGATGTGCCAGTGTATGATACAATGCTTGCTCGGCTCGTTGACATTATTGATCTGGACAAGAAAAGGAACCCACTGAACTCGGTGGAGTTGTGGATGTGCCTCTGGTCCATGGCCATTCTCGGCAAATATGATATGCCAGAGTTCACCTTACTCTGGGAACGTGCTTGTAGAATGCCGATCCAACCAAAGATCTTGACAATGGCTTTCCAGGTGAGTTTGGCATGTGCGCAGCTCTTGTTGCTGCACTCCCAGGTCTTGCAGGTGCCTGTGCAGCATTCTCCCTGCTTTACAGACGTGTTCAATGTGTATGCATGTTAAGTTGCATCGCGGAGACTGACCAACTTGTCATACATGAGGGCATCTCCTTCTAGGGAGAACACGTTGTCCCCTTCCTACTGGGGATTGTGTTTGTGTACATGTGTCTCAAGATGCATCAGCCATGCACAAAGGACAATTAGGCCCAGGAGCAACATATGCAAATTAGGTTGGCTGCAGAATTGTTTGTCCACTATGCAACAGTCCAGGCCAACACAGTATGTTTGTTGCTGTTGCTGTTAGCCAGCTTGCATGGGATATGAAAACCAGAATGTGGTTTGTCGCCAGCACATGGTGGTGGATCTTCAATAAACTCGCAAAGTGCAAACCTATCCCAGAAATTGGTCATTGCCCTTCTTGAATGTGTGCATTCATTTCTTGCACCATTTGACACAATATTGAACAAGCTATTGCTATATCATATGTCGCTGCAGTCCCGCACGCTCAACATTTTGTGGTGTTGATGGATGTGTTGTAGGTGAGTGTTGCAACAGAGATGGCAGCCCCTCACCTGGACCTGCATCTGCCGGAGCCTCTGTTCAGGGCTGCAAAGGAAAGCTGGCAGTCAAGGGTGAGGCATACCTGCATTTCGTCCTTCCATTCTTCTGTCTGCAGGGTGCTCAAGGGCATGGGATTCAGCTTTGTGTATGAGCATGTCACAGAGAACCACCTGTGCTCAGTGGACATAGCCTTGCTGCCACCCCAGCCAGAGGCCTGGAGGCAGCAGCAGAGAATACCAACGAGTGATGCCGCAGCCGATGGGAATCCTGATTCTGTGGATGTTCCCAGGGCTCATGAATCGCTGGAATTTAACGAATTTGGTGGAAACGATCAAGGCTGGGATCCTGAAGATGACATCGCTTGCATTACCTCAAATGCCTTTGAGGATTCGGCCCTAGCCAGTGCCAGTGTGGGGTCAGTGGGGGTGCTGGAAGAGGCAGATATGGATGACATTGTGACGGATTACAAGAGATCCCAGCAGATAAACTTCATGCTGAATGAAGTTGAACCCCAGAATGGATGCAGACAAAAAGAGGAAGAAAGGCAAATTGGTGAGGGAACAGTATAACTGTGGATCACGCTTGTAAACTTGCAGTTCTCCAACTGCCTACTGTACCAACATGGCTACCAGGCGAAGCAACATTCTGTCATGCAAGTGTGTTCTCTACGTTGGATATATGCCTCCAGGAACACTCACCTTCATATGTGTAGCGATGATTACGAAGTCGAACACAAGTTTGCTGCTGTGATGTCTCATTTAGCAAATGAAAGCGTTCCTTCTTTGCTACAGTGCAGGCTGCACTGGCTGCCGATCAAAATGACAGATGGAGGTGCCAGAATGGGAAGTCACATCGCGATATCTCCATGGTGACAGCATTCAATCATTGAGCAAATGTACTGAAACGTTGTAGATTGTCAGATCAGAATGTTTTGATCAGCATGGTGGTCCCGAAGTGCCTTCAAATGAGTAGCAATTGGCTCTATGTCGCTTGATGTGACTGTTTGGCTTGGCTTCGCAGGCGAAATTGAACTTGAGCGGCTGCTCAGGGAGGCATCCCTTCCCAAGGTTGCCATTGAAGTCGATGGACCTTCCCATTTCTTTAGGAACAGTAGAGAAGAGCTGGGACGCAACGGAATTCGGCAGATGCTGCTGAAAAAGCTTGGTTGGACCGTCGTTCATGTACCTTATTACGATTGGGCTGACGAAAAAGTCAAGGCGGCATACCTTTTGGAAGTAATGGAGAAGGCTGGAGTTAATTCACAGGACTTCCTTGGGAACTAGGCGGTTGGAATGTCAGATGAAATCGGTGGCACTAGTGTATTTGAATCGTCGATTGCAATGTACCACTGTCGAGTTTACCATTTCCCAACTAAAGGAGCACCACAGTCCCCCGATTTCGAGTGCGTGCTTGACTGTCGGCAACCTACAGTGGATTGCCTTTAGTCATATTGTGGATCTACTGTTGAGGCATGAACACAGAGTGGTATGTCAGCATTTGATTTGATGCTAGTTGTCTGCCTGCCTCAGTTGGTCAGCCCATGCTATCAGCATGTGCTCAGGACATACGCAGCTACACTAGAGGACTAAACTAGAGCGACCGGCATTGCCGTTCAGGTACATGTGCTGTGCTTTGTCGAAGTGCGCTTTGACAGCATCTGCCCGAATGTGGCATAGGCGTATGCGGCTTATGCCAAGCTAGTATCCACGTCTGAGCGAGTTGAGTCCTGGTCACTTCCAGTGTATCGCTTTCGGTCATGTCTGCACGCCTAGGGCATTGGGCTGCGTGTTGGGGGCACACAACGCAATAATGAATTGATCTAGTCACCACCCTTTGTATCAGTGTGATACCCCCCTTGAGCGACAAAATGGGCCTGCCACAGTAGCGGAAATTCTGCTGGCCCCAACCCCGAATCTTCAAAGCTTATGAACAAACCGATATCTTCCCGGCCGGCCTCCTTGGCCCCAGCCACATGTGCCAAAATGGTGCAACATTGCGTTGCAATTGCAGACCAGTGTCCATCACAATTTTCCATCGTGGAACCCGAGGCACCACTCAGTTTACTAGGCAACAGAAGCAGGGCAGAGCAAAGTCTTTTGCCAAGCTGGCGGCGTCAGGCAATGTTTCATAATGGTCTTGACCATGTTCAAAATCCCGTATGCATCGAACGGCCCCAAGAACTGCCAGAGAATCTACCAAATGCCTAAAAGAATGGAGAACAGGGAGGAAGAATCCAGGATGAAGTCCCCGACACCAAAGTGGGGGTGCCGATGCAGTGACAATGCGATTGGAGCGTTTGCCAAAAGATCAAACCAAAATCTTTCATCAATCAGCGGACAGCCTAGAGAACTGCAGGTGAGTCTACCTTCTTGACAATGCCCACTCGCTTCGCAGCACCTATCAGTTTGCAGGTTATGACCTAGCCCCCTGTGACGACACCAAAAATATAAAAAAATGAAAAATAAAAGCTTTGCTATCTCTCCATGAAACAGGCCGAAATTCCCCCACACACGGATCGCACCATGGGGTAGAATGCTTATGTCTGGCGCCGTCAGGTTTGGCACCATGCTGACATCATCGCTGTTCGATGACAAAATACGGAGCTCAATATTCCGTAGCAAGCAAGTATTCTCTCGCTCGACCCTGTTCACGGCCTCCTTGCAGCCGTAGCCCTGGCTTGTCTCTTCGTCGTCTTTCCACCATCGGACCTTCGGAACACTGTAGATAGAACGTGCGCGTACTTGAGGGTTTTTTCCCTTCGTGTTCGAGCGCCCTCAACACAAAGGCCACCCTCATAAGGGTGGCGGCGTTGAATGCCGTGGCGGCCAGGAGAATCGCACGCATGTGGTTGCATGCACGAACCACTGAAAGACACCGTAATGTGCGCCACGTGGCATTCAATCACTCCGTTTTCTTGGCGTTCCCTGAAGCCCGACTCGAAGTACTGGTCCAGCTAAAGACGGTGGCGACACATTCTGCGATCACACCCCGGGCAACAGCAGCGATCTGCCCTGTGCGGCTGCTGTCCCCATGAGTTTGTCCCCAGGTGTCTCCGGTCGCGCCGTCGACCTGCCCCCTCTGGTAGCCCTTCCCAGGCGTGGCAGCGTGAGGGGTGTCCGTGTCACCGCGGCTTCTCCGAGGTAAGGCGAAGTTTTCGACGGGCTGGTCGCGCCCGTTGGGTTCGGAAACGGGCGAGCGGCAGCCCACGTTCATACCGAAGCCAACCAGCGGGCTCTGGCGCCGACAGAGCGCCGAAATAGATCATGATTGGACCAACATGGCATCCACCAAAGCAGATTGAAAACAGAAGTTGAAAGGGATGCGGCGACGTTGGTCGTCAGCGCGGCAAGGCGGGCAATTGAGCCCGGGTTGCTCCACACGGGACTGTGAAACGGCGCCTTGCTTACATGTCGAAAGCTGCCCCACCGTAAGGCGCCGGCCTGGTCGTGAACGGCTGGCGCTCCGACTGACCACCGTGGCGCCGTGGCAGCTCTGATGAAGACAACGTAACGAGGCGGGCACCGGACCACAAAAATGAGGTAGCGATTGGCGCCACACCCTTTTGCAGTGCTCCTTGTATACCAAGCTTGAGGGGATGTGGCATTGCGTTGATCCGACGTGTGGATGTCACTGTCAGTCAACTAGCTCTAGGAGTTTTTCTTTGCTGATCGGACGATGCTTACGTTGAACAGTTGTTTCAATCTGCTGTATCACGCTTTTGGTACTACTGTTGTTTGACTGTTGAAGACGGAGGCAGTTGAACGTGTGGTCATGAGTGTGTAAGTAGATGCAGATGGTCACTTGATTGTGAGGCCATTATCAGCACACCACTCGGCCAGGGGTCATCCCTCATCATTGTTATTGTCCAGGTTATTTGCTGCGGGGGGCCACTGACGATTGGAATATGTTGAGGCATTTCGTTCAGCAACTGTTGGCAATTCTGTGTGCGGCTGTTCACATCGCGGGCTGTTGCTCCCATCCCCAAATAATATACTGAGATGCCGAATTTTCAAGAGCAGACATCGAGGTCCATGCATTGGTTGCCTTCTCTATAGAAGGAAGATCCTTTTTAGCAGACTTGAGAAGCCATGTTTGCTTCAATTCTAGTCGAGCAACTGGATAATTGTGTTCACCTGACCATCATTGTTGTGAACTGGTCTTGGGTCATTCAGTAAGGATCAATCAGCGGATTGGCAATTTACCTATGTGAACGGTTGCTGGTGCTCCTGCAATAGGGTGCCTCTTTAAGTCGGCGACATTGGCTGGTTGGTATTGGAGCTATTCCTGCGGTGCTTGGCCAGAGTGGTGTGAAGGCACATGAGAATGTCATTGGTGACCTTGCAGCATCAGAGGTACTATCACTGTGAGACCACTGGCTAGCACACTAACAGCCACTTCAGCTGCTGCATTGTGAGTGTCTGGGACAAGCATTGTTTTCCTACCATGGCATGACTTTGAACCAGGAGTGATTTGTGACTGCGATGGCTATTTGCCACTGACAAGATGGCCAGACAGCATTGAATCAGAATGATGTTGTTCACCCTCCAGCACAAGGGAAGGAAATGAAGACACTTTCGATTCCAACAGGAGCGTGCTGTATTGTGTTGAGTGACTTTCCCTATGGACCAACTGGTGTGTCCTGGGTATGTTTCTAACGTGGATAATAGTGCAACGACAGGCACTCGTGGTTGATGGCCCGATGTACTGTGGTGAAGCTGTGGTGTTGAGCTGCTGATCCTGTGTGTTATTTTGCTCGATAGTCAGCGCATCTCTGATTTGGTGTTTGTTCATGCCTTCAGGAAGGAGAAACGATATACATTAACCTGTCGGAAGATCCCATCCTCTCAGATTACGAAATCAAGGTAGTACCAATGTCGGTATTGTTCTCTGCCATCATCCCTGTCGCAACTGACAGCAGTGTGCCTAGAAAGTGATTGGGAGGGAAGATAGTGGGAGGGCATGTATGTGGTAGGGAGTGGGAACCCGTGATCTCCGGGGATTACACTGAAAGATGTTCAATGGCTTCAATGACATGGTTTGGACAGTTTACGCCTAAAAGCTTGGAATAGATTGGACCCATCATTTTGTAGGTGGTTGGCAATTGGTCCAGATTTTGTCTGCTGAGTTGTACCAGCAGCTTGGGGAAAAATGTGCAATACAGTGGGCTGCTGCTCGTATTTGTGGTTGACCCCTATCCACCGAGGTGGTAACTTGCATGTGCGTTGCAAGCCCCTCTGTCTGCTGAAATTCACCTTGAAAGCACTGTTCTACCTTCTGTGTTCTTCTGACACTAGAATTCTTGATATGAACGGCTGAAATTTCTGTGCCACAAATAGCAGCTCAGCAGGGTGGCTTGCTGGCAGTTTCATTGCGCAGCGAGTCTTTGGACGGGCTGAAACATGCCACGCTTCAGATATTGAAACTCTGCAGGAGAAAACATTGTAGATATTCTTCTTCGCACGGGATGGATGTTGCGTAAGCCTTTGAGTGCAAGAGGACAAGCACACAGAAACCAATAAGTACCAGAAGTAGTGCAGAAACATGTATGCCTGTGGCAATTTGAGCCACTGCACGAATGCTCTTGGCCTCTGTCAAGAATGGACATTGTACAGTTTGCGTAATAAATGTGTTGTTGGCTTGGGTTTGATTGCACATGCAGGTCCTTCGCAACAACTTGAAAATTCAAGGGCAGAACCAGGTGCCCAGGGACTTCCCATCTTTTGTGCGGGATGGCTTCAACATTAAAGTCCTGGCAGAAGGATACAAGCTTGATGAGTCCGGGTGAGTGGATGGCAACCCTCCTGTGTGCAACAGCCACGTTGTGCTTTGAAAGCCATTTGCTTGTGGCTGTGCATGGAGCTGAAGATGCACCACCCATTGCAGATCTTTCTGCACATTACTTTGTGACTGTATTGTGTGCTGGAAATGTGGTGTTGATAGACTCGCGTTTGCTTGCATGTTTACAACCAATTGGAGGTGTGCATCGGCACCTGCCTGTTGCGTCATGCTGTTGGTCGATTGTGCCCATATGACCATGAATTTCATAGTGCAGACGAAGAAAACGCTGTGTATCAGGGGGATTTAGTGTGGGCAAACATATCGGGGCTCTGCTCACTCTCTGCAAGCACATGTGTGCTTTGTCCCATGAGTTGAAATTTTGCAGCGCATGAGTTTGTACAGCGTCGTTTTGGATTGCATGTGCCTGGTTTAGTGGTGGAGTCCTGCGAGTTTCCCTTGTGACTGGTTCAAGCATTGATTTCGGTCCCTGCATAGAGTTCATGCGCGATCTCTATTTTGGGACTGCCAACGTTTTCGCCACTGTCACAATCTGTGGACTCAAAGTCAGTGATGTGCAAAAGCCTTCCTGTTAAACGAGTTTGAGGACTTTTCCCACTTGCACTGACAGAAGCGCAAACGAGTGGTCGGAAATACTGGTGCAATCGAAGCCTGTTTGAGTGATTGCTTCGAATCTGACTGTTGGCATGGGCATGTTCAGGTTGATTTACAAGGACTATGCTGTTGGTACTGGTGAACGACCGGTCGATGGACAGCAGGTAACATTTGACTACACTGGCTACAACGAGAGCGGTGCAAGGATTGACAACACATATAGCAGGGGATACCCTGCTGAGACACAACTTGGCGTTGGAGGTCTGATTCCTGGTAGGCATGAACGTCACCTCATCTACGATGCTGAGATGACCCAATGGCGGACCATAGACGGCTAGTTGCTGTTCCTCCACGACTGGCATCCTAAATCTGCCTTGCAGAAGCTGGATAGCGGATCACGCTCATATCATCTGCATGAGCTTTTGTGTAGCAAGGCAAGGGTCCCGCACTTGTGCAGAGCTCTGCGATGCGTCGCCTCCATGTTCCAGTGGGCTCTGGCATGCGATTGGGATGATTCCGATTTTCCTGGTGACTTCACACACACCTCCGCAGTGATTGCATTTCCCCAAGAGTCAATGCGTTGCACGGTCGACCACAAGGCGATGCAGGGCTGGTTGTGAGGCGGGCTATCTTTTGTGGCAGGTTTTGAAGTAGGTCTGAAGGGCATGCAAGTGGGTGGACGTAGGAGAATCATCATCCCCCCAGAGCTTGGGCCTCCTGTGGGCCCATCCACTTTCTTCAGCGCAAAGCAGTGTGAGGTGCGGGGCTCATAAACTAGCGTTGGACAAATTTGCGCACTGATAGATGGTCAAGCAGGGCTATAGGCTCTGGTTTGTACATGGTGGTTTGACCGTGTTTGGCTATGCTGTTGCATTGGTGTTCATTGTGCAAATCGTCGTCATCATCATCGTGAGGGCGAGGGAGCGCTTAATATATAATATGTGATATATGGCGTTGTTGTGGTGGGAAGCAAATATAGTGAACATGGTGTTATGGTGAATGTACACGGGGGCAATGGAGACGGGAAGTGAACATGATTGCGGTGATTGTTACTTAGCTGGTACGCTTATTCCTGTAACGCATCTGGTTACGGCTTTGGAGCAACCGTGTGCAAGCGTGTGCGAAAGGTTCGGTTTCTCTGATAATCATCATCGTGAATTCATTGTGCAATTCAGCATATGCCATACTTTCTGACAGCTGTCAGGACCTTGTGCAGTTTGTCCATTCAATCATACCGGCGTTTCTGTGACTACCGTTGCGTTTTATTTGGGGCAAATTGTCTTTGCCAGTGGGAGCGACACTTGTTTGCGGATGCAGTGGCTTTGCCGCTTTCCTTGTGGAACATAGGAAGCTCAGGTCTAACTCTTCCCCTTGCTATGCAAAGTTGCGTGATTGTGATGATGATGCAGTGGCGAGAGTGGGTCCCATGCTGATCGCTTCAGGTGGTACTCACGTGCCACGACGTATTTAATGGTCTGATAGCTGTGGTTATCGTTGCCTTGCAGGTGTTTGACGTTGAGCTCTTGCGTGTTAAATCATGCAGAAGGGAGGGGTTTGCAATGTTCTCAGGTTTGGTATGTGAATGAAGGGCGCGTTTTGTAGATTTGCATTTAATGACGTACATGCTTTCTCTGTAAGTAGATTATTGCCCATAAGCCAGCCATTCCAGATCTTGGTGCAGTAGCTGACAATCCAAACACTCCATCCTGTTGAATGCTTTGCCTGCGAGTTTCGAGTTGAATCAGGCTGGTTGCAAGGTAAACCTTTAGCACACGTCACACTCGTAGATCTGGCCACCTCACGCTGAGATGAAGCTACTGCTTGACATAGCTCAAAGGGCTTGTTCCTGTCATTGTGGTCCTTCAGTGACGATTGCAAGGCCAGGAAAGAGCGATTGCCGATGCGTCAGAAGTCATCTTTCAGAAGCAGTGTCAGATGCCGCATTTGTGCAGTACATGACCAGCATTGTGCCAGTACCAGGGGCACTGACTGCAGTTGGTCCAGTGTGGAAGGCTTGCCCTCGCACAAGACACTTACTTCACTTCGCAACAGTACAAAGCACGGGTCTGCCATGTCGAACGCCTTGTGCTTAGCGCACACCACCTGCGCTGCCACATTGGGTTCGCGGCACAGTTTATTCGCTTGATGGGTGACCAATCATTCGTTGGCCAAACGCCTCTTTCGTTAGAGCCGCGCTGGCGCTTGAATTCTGCTTCCAATACGACGCAATGCTGGGAGTTAAAGGGACACGTCCAAAACGATATGCACCGAGACAAGCGCTATCAAAAGGGTCCCCTGCCGACTGCGCAGCGCGAAGACTGCCTGACTGCGGGCATCCACACGCGGTCCAGCGCGTTCGGCATGAGCTACACTGCACAGGCACCCCATGGCCAGGTCGCCGCCCCTTCAGCCCTCCAATTATGCATCACCTGTGTTACATGCTCTGCAGTCGCACGAAAACAGGCGGTATGGTACACAGCGACGTCTAGAAACAAATGCAGTGAGCTACTACGGCACACCAGGGGCCCGCTAAAGGCCCGAACACCCACAGCCCGAAACTTGCGGCTACTCAGATAGAAACTTATTGACGCCCACACTGAGAGGTGATGGCTGCTCCCCTACCGACTGGAGTGTCAACGCCAGTGCCGCCAGATTCCTAGCAACGGCTCACTACACACATGTTGGTCAGGGGCAAACGTCCCCAGCCCTACAAATGTCCACACCAGCAGAGAGAAAATGGCTGCTAATTTGCAAACGGCTCATGTACCGACTCCACTCAGACCGAACAGCTTCGCTAGTGGCAATGAACCAATGACATGCAGGATGGAGGCCAGGACCCGTGCCCATTCTTGTTGCCCAGCACAAGTTCCCCGATCCCCCACGGCTGCCTGCCAGTATGCACATGCCTGATCCACTCAAAGCAGTTTTCTCCTCGTTCGTTGCAAACCCAAAGGAAATCTACACTTCGATACTTACCACGGCCCAGAGAAGACAAGGGCAAGCATCAACATAAGGAGACACCCATTGTCGGCTGGAGTACTCCATTAGTTCAATTGTTCGCCATAGATACTCAAAACTGTCTGCCATCATGCGCTACTGACAGACATGCCTTCACACCTCACCCACAGGGGCCACGACCCGCCCTGTGCCCAGTGGCCTACAGCCATGGTAATTCGCACACACGTCACCCTGGACCTTGAAGCAACATCCAACGAAAAAAGCATCAAATTCCCTCAGTGTCATGAGGCAAGGAATGTCACACCATTTTCTTCCCTTGGCTATATCTTCAGCACGGCGTCTAGCTGCCGACTGCAACACAGGGGCTCCCTTGACAAGCCATGAATGATTCCCTATCTCAGCAGTGGATCTTGAACTGCAGATTGAGCCACGGTCTGCGCTTTCGGACCTTCCTGAGCTTCTCTGTCATGTCCGCCTTCTCCCTTTTGATCTCTTCCAGCTGGCGCTCAAGTTGTGCAGTCCGATGCTCTGCATCGCCGTGGGCCTCGGTCATGTCCACCTTCGATATCTCCAGTTCTCGAATCTTGGTTTCCGTCACGTGCTCCCTTTTCGTCACCTCTTTCCTGGTTCGCTCCAGGTCCTCGCTCCTGTCTGCCAGATCCTGCTGCAACCTGATGAATTCAAGGTTCTTGTCTTCCAGGCTGCGCACTGCCTGTTGCTTCTCACTGAACAGGCCCTCCATGTGCCACTCCATCACGCGAACCTGGTGGCTGAGCGTCTCCTTGTGGCGCTCATTCTCTCGGATCTCCCCGTTCATCTTTCGGATGCTTTCATTCGCAGCACGATTCTCAAGCTCCAGCTCACGGAGCTGCTTCTCCAACGTCTGCACTTGCAGTGACAGGTCGTCCTTCTCCCTCTGAATCAGGGACACATCCCTCTCCTTCTGCTTGCGAATGCTCTCCGTCTCTGTGTCCTTTTCTGCTGTCACATCGTGCAGCATGCGTTCGAGCACAGTCACACGTCCCTTCAGGGCCTCTTTCTCACTCCCTACCCTGCGAATCTCATCCTGGGTGAGTGTCAACTCTGCTTCGCGATTCGCCTCCTTTTCGCGGAACTCGTCTGCCACGCGCTCATGCTCCATGATTCTGCGGCGCAGCACCTCGGTGTCCTGCTCAAGTTTCGCCACATACTCCCTCTTCATCGTAGCTACTGCCTGCTCTGCAACATGCTGCTCCTCCTCCAGGTCTGCCATGCCCCTTGACAGCACGCCAACCCGGGCCTCCAGCTTGGCCTTTTCGTCTTCGAGCTTCACTATCTGCTGCTCACGCTCTGCAGACATGCCCACGCCTTCCTCATGCTGCTCAGTGAGAGCGTCCAGCTGCTGCTGTAGGCCTGTGATTTTGGACACGAGGCTCCTGCGCTCTTGTTCCATGCGCCCTGCATGCTCGTCTCGAATGCCCTTGATCGTATCATCCGCCTCGTCCTTTTCTTTGGCGAGCTGCTCGATCTGATCTTCCAGCTGCATCAGGCACCCTGCCAGCTCAAGGTTGTCCTTGTCCAGCTCTTGGTTCTGCTTCTGAAGCATTTTGGCGATGTTCGTGGATTCGGAATTGTCTGCCTCCACTGCCAACAGCTTGCATGCAAGCCGGGCATTTGTACGTGCAAGTTTCTGCAGCACAGGAAACGGCAATGTCAGAGCTGCAATTTCCCACCAAGTGCTGAACTTTCACTACCTGGATCTCTGACTATGCACATATCTTTTGGCAAGTTCACGCAGCCACAGACAACATAAGTGGGAGATGATACCTTGAGACGTGATGTCTTGTCATGCAGTTCCTTTCGAACCCATTTGAGCTCCAGACCCAATCGCTCCATCACGGCTGCTCTGTTGGTCTCCACATCCTATGAACAGGCAAGCGTGAATCAGAAACAGCACTAAGGGGTAAGTTTCACAACGCACACACAAAAGACAATGCACGGTGGCCGACTTCAAGGGAACTCACAGCTCCAGCAATCTGCTCTATGCCTTGTGAACAGAGCACTGACGCCCCCAAGTCAGCGATCTTCCGCACGCATCGCAATCTGCCTCCAACTGTTTATGTCATGAACACCCCAGTGTCGTTATTGCTGGATTATACTGTGGCAACAACCACAACTACTCTCATTGACAAGTGTCCCAAGGCACCTTGTGCCACTCTGCTATCAATATCAGGGAATCCGTGCAGGTGAACATACTGTTCTAGAGCGGCTGTGTTATCAGCTATTTCCACAACTCAGCACACAATGCAGTTGTTTTGAGATGTGCAGGCATCTTCTTGCACCCACAGCTGCTCCCACAAGCAGAAATGCCATGCCGATGCAACGGCACAGTTTGCGCTAATTCGATGCCGTGTGTCAAGCATATCAACTGCAAAAAGATTTACATTGAACACAACAGTACTGCTGCAGCACTCATCAATGTCTGAACTATGTCAAAACCCTGTCAACTGCGCATGTATATCCTCCTGGAGGGTATCTGTACATTCCTGCTGCTGGTCACTCCCATGCACTCTCCAATATGTACCTTTCGACGCTTCACTTCCTCTGAATAGAGTGCCTCCAAATTGGCCACCTGCAGTTTGCTGTCGTCGATCAGGTTAAGGAGGCCCCTTCTCTCGTGATCGTGATCAACTGACTCACGGCGCAGCGCATCATTGGTCCTCTCCAGGTGGTCCTTGTCAGCCGTGAGAGCTGCGATACTCTGCTGCAGCTGCCACATGTCCATCATACCAGAGACACAAGCCTGCAGACATGCAGACAATGTGACACTCAGAGCCCGTGTTTGACATCTGTCCTCTCCATGGTTTTCATGCGAGAACCTACTCCAGACTGGAACACAGTGATTGTGCCAAGCAGGTTACATCAGCATTGTCTCCCCACCAGTAAGAACAAATGCAAGTGTGCACCCAGTGCCCAAGGTGCCAGACATGGTGATCACCGCACCAGCATTCACTGATCATTCAATCCAGACAACCTGCGCCCTGTGGTTGTGGATGACACTAGCCTGGTACAATCACAAGAATAGCAGGTTTCGCCAACCCACCTCGTTTAAAACACCCTTGGACATCTTTACAGAATTCAGTTCCTGGGAGTACTGCATGATCTTTGTGCGCATGGAAGCTATCTCATCCTTCTTGGTGCTCAGTTCACTCTTCAGATGATCTATGCTCGTCCGCTGCTCGCGTACTCGCATTTGCAGCAGCTCAGGATCGTCTGGAAGAGGGAGATCGATGGAGCTCTAAGGACCACACAAAAGCACACACATGCCCTTAGTCCAGCTCAACCAGCAATGAAGCCATACCATGAGGCCAGGGTCAAAACAGTGAGATGCCCATGAATTCTCTGCAACTTCATTGCGTCCTTGATGACAAGCTGTCTGAAGCAGAAGTAGTGCATGCACACTGTATGAACATGCAACAGGCAACTTCTACCCAGGAAGGAAAGACACAGACACAAAGATTATATACAGCTCAGCTCTGCTTCCTGATTTGCGTCGACCGTTGTTGAAATGGTGATACACAGTTGTTTGGCCCTGTGTGAATCCATATTGCAGACACCATGCACAGCACACCTTGCTTGTTCGTGTGTCTGAGGATGCATTGCTGGCAGCGCTGTGCGGTCGAGCGATCGACCTTGCAGATCTGTGCGGCCATGCTCCAGTTGGTGTGTTGGACAGTGACCTGCCAGGGACAAAACAATAGCTCAAGTATGTTCACAGTTGAGGGCCAGTCTTGGCCGTCTCTCACACAACCGAAATGACAAACGCCTGGACATTGAACCCTTCAGGGACACACACCTCCGGTGTTGGGGATGATAGGGATGGGCAAGTGGTGGCGTCTTTGAGCGCAGAGCAGCTGCGGGGTCCGGCGAACGGTACTGTGAATACGATACTCTGCCACCAACCATCGGCCCGTTGGCAGTGGGCACGGGTGTGATGTCAGGCGTCAGGACAACGCCGTCCTCTGGTATGGGATGGGACGCCAGGCCGTCCATATCGATATCCGGGGACAGCATCGCTCGGTCTGGCGTGTCTGCCATGATTGCTGTGCCGCGCTCCGCGCAATCAAACTGTGTGTGGCTCAACAAACACTATCTGCAAGGCAGGGCACAAGAGCACGTCAGTTGCGTGACGATCACCCACGGGGCAACAACACCCAGTCAACCTGTGTCGTGTGCGCACAGGCCCCCTCACTCACAGACACCGCCTCCAGCGACAACGCTGCAAACCGCACAGGACAGGGCAGGACAGCCAGCCCCCCCCGAACGCCGCGTAACAGCTGCAGGCTGGCTGCCTGCTGCAAGCACCGGTCCCTGTCCGTTGGCCCACACACGGGCATGAAAACAGGCGGAGGCGGTACACCGGGCCCGCGCCCCGCGCCCATTTCCCAACATCGCCCACATTCGCCTGTCCTCTCGCAGGCAGGCTTGCAGCCACCGCGGGGAGAAATCCCAGCCTCGACGGGTGCACGACCGGAGTCAGTTGCTCCCGCATGCTTCCCCCACACCAAGTCACACCGTATTCGCACGATGATCGCAGATACGAATACGCGTCTTATCGCCATGGCCGACCGTGGGACGCGATCGGCGGGCCGGCGCCGAGCGGCACGGGCGCCCCGCTGCACGCCCTCGCCCCCAGACGGCAGCACCGGAAGTCATTCCGTGGCCAGCGCGGGACCAGGGGTCCGCGGGACACGCGGCCCAGCGCCCTCGTACTTCAACATGCCAATCCCACAACCGCCGTGCCGTTCGCCAGGACAGTTGAAGCGAGGCACGTCTACAACGCGAGGAGCGGCGGGCGGACGGGAGTGGCCGCACCCGGAGGCCGCCGCGGCTTCGGTGCCGCCTTGCCGCGGCACAAGCGCTCGTGGCTGGCCGCGTCGGGGATCCATGACGGGGTTCCGCGGCGCGCCAGGGGCGCTGAGGTGCAGCCCGGGAGCGAGGCCGACAATGCCTGGCCCCCAGCCGGCCGCTGCATCCCCAGCACTGCAGCCACCCCTCCCCCCTCACCTGCTCGGCCGGCCGCCCCGAGCGCACCCAGAACAGAAACACGCGGCAGGCGCCCGTGGGCGGGCCGCCCGTGCGCACAGGCGGCACCCTCCGGCGCGCGCCGCGCCGAGGAGGCTTGCACCGGGCCTCGTGGATGTGCACAGCAGGCGCGTGCGTGTGAATAATCGCGGCGCGGTGCCAGCCCACAGGAAATCAGTGGGAGGGCGGTTTTGATGCCAGGGGGCACAGCCCGTCGGACCGCAACCCGTGGCCCGGCGGTCCCACCCCGCGCCGGCCCTACAACGCGCCAGGCACGCCCGCCTTGGAGCCGTGTGAGCGCGCCAGGCTGGCGGCAGCCGACCCCGCCGGACCGCAACTAGGGGCGCCCTGACGGACTGGGCGGCCGGAGCCCGTTGGACACCGCATCCCGCGTCAGCGCTGCGGGCCCTGGCGCTGGTTACGCACCGCGGTGTCCTGTGCAGGGAAGCAACAAAGCACCACTTTTTTAGTCCGAGGTTACAAAATCTGGTTTGGGAAATTGTTCCCCAGAAGCGGCTCCTGTGGAAGAGACTGGATAATCCCCCTGGCTGCAGAAAGGTGTGGGCACCAGATGGGTCGAAAGCCAATTCGCGGACTATGTCCAGCAATGAGTGTAAAATTCGGTGGTCATGTGGTTCGCTCGGTGAGTGGCGCATGACCGACGTGTGAAAACCGGATGGAACCACGTCACAAATCAGTCAGAATTTGATGTGGACAGCCGCTCGTTGTTGCTCAAGAACTGGAGCACATACCGAATGTACACAAGGATGGGGGCGGTTGATTAAAAACCAGCAGAAATGTGAGGGTCGCATATTCCATGAGATATGAGCCCATACGCTCATAACTGCGGAGCGACCTGGGTTAAATAGACAAGAGTATTGCCCTCAGGCTCAGAATATCTTGAGAAAAATAAAGCATGGTAGCTGAATAGAATGGGAGACATTTCGGGTCGATGACCTGAACATGGCATGTGCCTGTGCAACAGCACACTCGCCGTCAGTCAAGTTATTGCTTCATTCGAGTTGCACAAAGCTGACATGTGTCGACTGACTGGTTGACGCAACACTATAGGCCAGTCACAGCTCGGCATTGACAGCCACTAAGCATTGATAACACAAAAACAAAAGGAACAAGTACACCACCCAACTGCGAGTAAGGGCACTCTAGTTGGGGCCACACGATGTCCAGTTCCTTAAAGACAACTCTCAGCCCAGGGACGCTAATCGCCTTGATCATAGATAAGGAGCGACAAGGCAGCCACCAGTGCCCACACGGCGCGCATCACATCCTGGCGAGTGTGGGAAGCGCGACTAGTCAAGAGAGAGTGTGTGGAAGGGGTACAACACCCCAAGAGGCAAGCATGTTTCTGACGAGTAGCGTGGCAGCGAAGGAGGGCGGCAAGGGCGATGTGTGGCCAGGATTCCTGGTGGAGAAGGTAGGTGCATGCTCCACTGACCACGTGCTGAGCGTTGTGGTTGTATGGAAGATATGATGAACGATTCGGGAGAAGCGAAAGCGAAATCGAGCTGCAGTGTGGATGGAAACTGGGCGGCATGTGTGAAAAGTTCAGGAATGATGACGTGGGAGGCATCAGAGTGTGGATTGAGGCAAGAGCTGCAGAACTCGGGCAGCATGGGAGCTCTGCGTGCACTGGCTGAATGCATTGGCAAATCGATCAAGCGAATCTGACCTCCAACTGACGTGAAACAAAGGCGTGAATCGACGAGCGCTGCGCGGTATGGCGCTGTGTTTTTCGTCGAAGAATGGGGGAGACACTGCCTGAAACTAGCTCTCCAGACATCGTGCACCTTGTGGACAATGTGATGCTACGCCTGTGATGCACAACCCACGAGCCTGTTTAGCATCTTTTCAGACATCTGGAGAGCATCTTTGGTCATTTGAGCAGCAGAGTGGTTGTGGCTCACCAGCTTTGCCATCAGCCAGCCACCATGAGAGCCATTCAACAGTCAAAACGACAGAATTGATTTCTGTGAAGCAACTTGTCTGAAAAGTTTCAGTGGAACTGCAGCGAGATTTTTATTACTTTTATGACCTAAAGCATTGGCAAGGTGGCTGTCAAGTGTTGTCCTCTCTGCAACAGGAAAGCAGCTTTTAACCTAGGTTAAAGAGCCTTTTATGTGGCACTGGACATGATGCCGACAGTGGCCTATGCTGTGTTCCCAATGTTTTGGCTGGAAAGGGTTCTGTACTGGTCTACATTGTTGACTGAGGTATATTATTGAGCCATCAACGACAGGTACTCCAAGGGAACGGGGTTCACGGCCTCTGCCACGTACACAAGCGCCCCAAGGGAACAGGCTCTGAGGAACATGGCCGCCCACACGCGAACAGATCGCCCAACTACGGGACAGCATGCAGGGGGGGGGGGGGGAAGGACCATGTGCGCGCAGAGCGCGCGGTTGCCCTGATTTGTGTGTTACTGAACTGAATTGATTGGTGGTATTGGTGTAAATTACAAATTTGGCTTTTGCACTGACCCATATGCATGGACGGCTGAAAATGGGGGGGACATGTGCATCAATAGTTTTGAGGTGATGGCACTGGAAGTTGCATTATAGCATGTCAGCAAATCACTGCTGGAACTAACCGCTGAAGCACTGTGTTCAAGCGTTGCTTAAGAGCTCCAGGGCTTTTCTTTCACAGCAAACGAGCGACAAAAGCGACGGGCACTGGAAACACGTTGCCAATCAAGCCAGGCGCACAACAAATTCAAATTGATTAATGTTCCGCTGGAGAAAGGTGGCATTACCATCATCCTGAAGTCCAGGTCCTGGACCATGAAAGTCTTGCAGACATTTCCTTGGAATTGAAGCCTGTGCACCTTAAACGTGTGCAGGGGAAGGGGTCTGCCATCCCAGCTCACCCCTTGTATCGGTTTTTACCCATTCTCGAGACAAATAGCCATCCACAGGGGATGAGCATTGGTGCTATTGTGCAATATGCGGCGCCTGCATCAACGTGATAGCCAAGGGATTCCATCATCTTGGGGTCTAAGCACCAGCTGCTGGAGACAGTAGAATGCGCTCTATAACACAAATTGGCCGCATCATTGATGCAGCACTTTTCCAGGTCAGTGCGCTGGCGCCATCATGTCCCCCCAATGGTCTTCCACGTAGCAGCACAAGGGGTCTCCAGCAGTCACGTACTGTCTGAATGGCACAAAGCGCTGAGCTTGCAGCAAATATTGCAGCATGCAAAGAAAGAGTCCATGAAGGAGACTTAGGCACGACACACATTCCATGACAAGATGATTGTGGTGGAGGCTGCTGACACAGTGCGTGGAATTTCCATCTGCAAACCACATTCCACTGGCAGGCTTCACCAAAGCCCACCTGCAAGCACATTGATGTTTGAGCACGTGCAAGAAACGTGGGCCATTGGCAAACAACCCAACACAGTTTCCTCCATTTCGAGAATATTGTACAAGGCCATTGTCTCAAGTCCTGCACATGGCAACACTACATATCCTGGAGACCCAACACCTTTGCTGCTCATGTCCAGCATTCTAAGCAGCTGGCCTATGCCATGAAACATGAAACGTGTCTGCATCCCTTGTACCAGAACTGACCCAGGCCAGTTCTTGTGAACCTAGCGGCCCTTCACAAATGGATGCCCAAGCACTTCTTTGAGGGTGATCCTGTCTGCAGCATGGTAATGCAAGCACCGCTGCATCAGCCGGACAACTTCCTCATTCCCACACTCGGGGTACTCAATTTCGTATTTGGGATCTGTGATCGCTTTCACCTTTGTGTAAACGTTCGAAATGTGCTGAAAGGGCTTCTTTGAGTACACCATCTGGTAAAGGATGCACCCAAGGCTCCAAACGTCTGACGGCCTTCCAACCTTTGCACCAGGCAACAGTGTTTCGGGTGCCATGTAGTCAAGAGTGCCGATCTGCTGCTCTCTGTGAATGCAAGTAGTCTGTTCCTCCATTTTCCTTGCTATGCCAAAGTCGATCAGCTTGAGGGCTCCCTTGACCATAAGGAAGTTGGCAGGCTTCAGATCTGAGTGCACTATGCGTGCCCCATGAATGGTCACCACGGCCTCAGCCATCTGCTCCAGCAGCGACCGTATGAAGTTCCAATCTGGCTCTGTAGCACCCTTGGCTTGCCTGAGAATCCCTCGATTGTGAAGCAGGCCCGTCAGGTCGATTTCACCCAGCTCTTGCAGCATGTACACCACCCCAGCTTGTTTGTAGTACTGGTAGTCGATCAGCTGCACGATCTGTGGCTCCCTCGCCAGATGCCTCAATAGCTCCACCTCCTCCAGGATGCCCCGCACAGTTTCCTTGTCACGTGCGTCCATGGAACAGCGCTTCAGGGCATATATCATGTGGTTTTGAGGGTCAAGCACCTTATACACCTTGCTGAAACCCCCTCTCCCTATGAGCTCCAGCTTGTGGTACTTCCTCCCCTTGATGTACACAACCCTGCCGTCCTCTGGCACCGGTCCCATTTCCACGGTGTTTTCGATGGAAAGTTGAACCACCCCAGCACTTTTCAGGACCACAGGCTCCAAGGGTTGGGGAGCTTGCCCTTTTGAGGGCTGCTGGACTGATCCAGAAGGCTTGGGACTTCCAGGCTTTGTCCACGGTCCTTGACCTCCTGCATCTTCCTGTGGACAGCAATTTGCCTGGCTGGCATTTGTCTGCATTGGTGCCATTGGCATCCGTCTTGGCTCTTTGTCAGCGACTGCAACATCCTTACTATCCGGCTTACTTCTGCAGCTATCTGCCTTGCCTTCGTCAGCTGCTGCAACATTGGTAGATCGCTGGCATGTTGCATTCCCAACACGTGTCCAACTGGCATTCTGGTCCCTGACATTATCCTTGTTCCTAAAGAGCTGTTTGGCATCATTGCTGGATTGCACATTCATGCCATCTACCGGCACAGGTGCTGCAGTGCAGGATCCTGAAAACCCACCACTTCCGTCAATGTTGCCACCATTTCGGCTTGCATCCCTGCAAGAAGTATGAACATCCCTGGAACGTAGATCATTCCCAGATGCTGTCACACCCAGATGAGCAACGCGCCCAACAGATGCCTCCTTCTCCTGCCCTTCACCACTGCCCACCTCTTGACTCACAGGGTCTTCTGCACGCTGCACCGATTGTCCACTGGCATCCTTGCCAGCAATCCCATAGGAGCCTGCCTCCTGTGCAACCTGTTCCTCCACAGCTTCCAACCGCGGCAAAAATCTTCTTTGAACTCTTGAATCCACACCAGAATCGATTGGGCCTGTGCTCCTATTCACCACGTGCATGCGGGGCTGCTGGAACGCAGAGAATTCAGTGTGATTGGTTCCTGCCTGGGCGTCCTCGCCACTCTTAACAGCATCAGCGCCCTCTTCCTGCACTTTGGGCTTTTTTGCACGCATGTCAATGCCTGTATACTGACTATCTGCATCATCTCCCTGCAACCTGCGTTTCACCCCTTGGCCCTCAGCTCCTGTCTCCCCACTGTTTGGCTCTGACCAGGATTTCGCAACACGTTGGGCTCCCCCAAAGGCACTTAACCGCCTAGCTTGCACCTTGCGGCGGTTCGTGGCCCACGACAACAGCATTGTCGCAGTCGTCGTTGCATTTTCCACAGTGTTGTCATTCGAACCCAGCATGTCGCCCTCAACAGAACCCAGTTTGTAGGGAGAAGGCTGCTGCATGTCTTTTGCCATCAACGAATCCTGGCCTGACCTCTCAGGACCGGACATTCCCATATGCTTGGTGTCAGGGCCATCGCAGCCGGCGACCAATGGCATGTCGACACACGTCAAGGAGGCACTCTGTTGCTGTCGTCGACCGCTGCGAGGTTGGGTACTCACTGAAGTCTCTCCCCCCCAATCCACCCCGGCTGCGGCTGCGCTGATCCAAGGACTGTAAGCATAGCGACCGTTCTCCATATCGGACTTGGCCGTCTCCAGCAACTCCCTTGGGGCAGCATTGCGCCCCAACCCCTTCGCCAGCGTCGCCAGCGCTTTGGGCGCGTCCCCCGACGCGGCCTCCAGCCCCGCGAACTCCAGGAACACAGGCGCATACCGGCCCCTGCTGTTGTAGATCAGGTCCTTGAACTGGATCCGGGCCTCAACCCTGTCTCTCCTCCACTTGTGCCTGGCGTGGCCGATGTGCAGGTCCCAGTAGGCGGCATCGCCCTGGTTCGGGCCGAAGGGAACAGCCTTCCTTGCGCTCCTGTACAGGTGAGAGACCGGCTGCTCCAGCAGACCGCTGGCGCCCGCCGCGGGCACCGTTCCCTCATTCGACGCCTCCCGAGCGCACTCCGACTCCTCCTTGGCGATGAACGCCAACCACGCGGCGGGAGACGCAGGGTTCTTCAGCACGGCGCGAGCCAGCTGCTCGTCAAACCCCTTCCCGGCCGAGCGCCTCTGAAACACGTACTGCCGGAGCTCCTGCTTCCAGCCCGACGCCATTCCCGCCATTCCTCCGCAGCCGAGCGGGTGCACAGAGGCACAGGGAGCCCGCTGGATCCCGCCTGGCTCGCAGAGAGGCTCCCTCCAGCGGCCACAGCGACCCGGACAGCAGGCCAAGAAGCGCGGAGCGCAGGCGCGGTCCTGGGCCCGGGGGGGTGGTCGCCCGGCAGGGCCCCGCAGAATGTGCCCCAGTTTCTGGCACGACTCTGCCGCCTTCTGAGTCAGAGCCTGTGACACACGATGCGACAGCCTCCTGTGTAAGGGGCACGGCATTCATGACGACGGAACCACTCCCCGGCGTTCCCGCGGCGCTGTGGGCCCCCCGCCGTGTGTGGCGGCACGTTGGGCCCTGAGGCGCGCCTGCCGGTTCGCGTCCCGAGGCAGCCAGCGATCGGGAGCGGAGATGGGGGCTGACCCTCCGCCGGCCTGTTCTCAGCGGGCCGAATGTGCGGAGGCGGCCGAAGACGGAAATGGTGACATTCGCGCGGCAGTCGTCCACACCCTCGACTCTTTGATGACAAGACTCGAGACGGGAGCTTCCGCTGGTAGGATCAATGCTGTGTCGCTGTCGATCGCGTTGAATGTGTGTGCGCAATTGTATATTGACGGGCGCATTCATCCGGTGGTGAGCGAGGCGCGACGCTCAGTGCTTGCCGCCGCATCTGTGCGCGTCGCCGTTTGAATCCTGTGCATGCGTGAAAGCAATCAGTGATTTCGCTTCCCTGCTTACTTGTCCCAGAGGATAACACTTAGCATCGAATCAGAAGCCAAGCGGCCTTGGCATTGTGGAGTCAAGTCTCCTGCACTCTCCACGCGGGGTGGCCGATATCACGTTTCTTTGCTGGATTGACATCATGTCGCTTTGGTGGCGCGATTTTTTGTTGATCGTGTGGAAACATGTCGTTGGTATTGGGCCATGCAGCTGGTCCCAACTTGCAGAAGGGGTACCGAGCAAAGCGACCACGGCTACTTGCCCCATGGCAGAGTGCGTACGCCCTGAAGAGAATGAAGGAGCAGAGGGCGGACTCCACTATTGAATCAATGGCTGGAGGGGCAAGTAAGCTGGAAAAAACATCAACAGAACAGGAAGCCGAACCATCGCAGCAGCAGAGTGCTGCAAATACCGCTGCAAGAGCGGCGGACCGTTTGGCAGTGGTCGCAGCCGGCAACGTCCAGGTGGGCATTGTGGGTGCCCTTTGTCTGGACTGCAGCAATAATCCAATGTTAAGGGGGAAATTTAGGGTTCGAATTTATTCTTCCTGTTGCATGAATGCACCCCAACACAGCAGTGCTTCATGGAATGTGTTTGGCAGAATCTTTTGGCCACGAGCACTTCCTTACGAGAGGCCTTCCTTGTTGTGCCGAGAACTGTCAGATTCGAGCCCTTCCTACTTCCGGATATGATCTGACACGTATCCATATTAAGTTCTTCTCCTCAGAAAACTCAGTCCAATTGCCAATGTGTCCAGTTGCAATCCTTGGCAGTACATGAGGCCAACAACAAGTGACGAGCAATTGCTGAGGCCATTAACTGCCTCGTCCTGTAGGGGTGGTGGCATGTGGATGCCCATGTTTACAGAATAGTGTGCATTTGACAGGTTGCACATGCCAGCTTCAGCAAACACGTACCACAGGATGAGCATGCCATTGATGGGCAGCAACTCGCAGATGCAGATCCATATCCCAGCATTAACAAAGGAAGCCACACCGCCAGAGGTGAAGAGGAGCAGTGCAGTGGTGCCAATAGCATAAAGGTACGACTTGGCCTTGAGTCCTTGGACAAGCACCAAAGAGAAGTTGTCGAAATGAGGAAGAAAACACTTGAAGAGGTGGCAAGCTTCATTGGTAGATTTTTGAGTGTTGTCAGGGTGGCAATGAGACAAATACTGGTTTCTGACTGCCCCTCGAAGTCTGTACCAATTCATCAGGTCCTCAGAAATGGCAGTGTGTCTGCACTGAAAAGGACGGCTGGTTTGCTTGGATTTTCGACGTGGCATGATTTCTGGGCCTACTATGCTGGTGACCTCTCAACTGTGACAGTCTTGCACCAAGGTCCAGGTCTGTCAGAGATCACCCCAGTTCCAGGGCCAGCCTGCCAGAGTATTGCCGGCCCTGCATTCCCAGTGGACATCCAATTTGCCCACTGCGTTGGCGTAGGGACCTCCTTCAAGCAGAAACGCAAGTCCTTGGTGCAGCGAGTGCTCAAAAGCAAGGACCGTCAGCCTGTGGCGTGGGGGGGTGAGCACAGCCGGGAAATTGAGAGCAGTGTCCGTGGGTTCGTTTGCTGGGCCATGCAGGACATTGCATGCAGGTTGAATATGGGGATGGTTCTGGGCCCTCTGGATGGCCTGATCAAAGACGAGATGATGCACTGCTTTGTGCAGTGCTTCAGATGCCAGCATCAGGATGGAAAACATCAAGCCATCGCTGGGATCAACAACGCTGGGCACTGCAGTTTCTGCAAAGGGGAAGAGAGTGAAAGCAAATCGGCAGACACTTGTGTACCATGTTTGGGTGACATGGTCACCGACTTGGTGATCTGCAGGCAAGCCTTTCAAATCGAAATCTTGTGGCCGCGCCCTGGCGTTTCGTATGATGTTTTGGGCCCCTGGTCTGATCATGCTGCAAGCACTGGGGAGAGAGGGCGGCCAAAGTGGGTGTCGCCAGACATCTGTGGCATGCACGCCTCTCGTCTGAATCTTATGTGCCATGTAGTGTCCAACGAACTGGAGGACAGTCTGCCCCCAGTGTGTATGGAATACATGCTGAAGTACTCGTCCCGTGCTGCATGAAAGGATAAGTGCATCAGCAACGGGCAACGAAGCAGTGGAGAACTGCCAGTGCACATAGTCTCCGGGGAATATGGGCAGGCCGGGCGCCAAGACATTCCTAAGTCCATTGGCGACTGTCAACAAACAAACTCTGCTGAGCTAAAATTCATTGTACACAAGATCGGATGTAATGCTGTGCATAACAGATGCTGGAGTGGTTTCTGCGCCTCCCAGCTTTCATCAATTTGCTTGGATGGTTGTGTAGGCCCTTTTGTGCATCACATTCCCATGGCACAGTAATGTGGCAGTTGGGCTGGCAGAGGCAAATGTTTTGTGATTGCTATGGCATATGGGCAGCAATCACACAACAACTCGTTTTGCCATCCCCACTGCCATGGGTAACACCGTTTGTAATGGCATGCATGCCATTGCGTCGGTCACGTGTGCATGTACCACAGTGTACCACTGTTCAACACGTTCTGCTTGCAGAATTAGAACCCAATAAAAATACATTGTAAAATTAGCAATTGTAGAGTGGTGCGAATGCACTGAAATGATCTAAAATTACTACAGGCACCATGCGCCTTCTGCTGCCGCCCCCGTCAGCTTCTTGCCCAGAAACAGCGCTTGAGCTCTGCAATCTGTATCGCGAGCCTGGCTTCTGGTACCCCAGGTTCCACACACCTGACAACCGGCTCTTCAGACGCATGGGACATAATTCTCACACCCCCTGCCAGCCCGGGAACATGGCTGCAGCCCCAGTGCGGTTGCCCTCAATACTCCTGCGCCATTGCCATTAATGCAATGCACATCGTATGCTGGACGCCTCCAAGAATGTTCCGCTCGCAAACGCCACCTGGACAGTGTTGGGATCAAGTACCACAAGTCAGCAGGTCGTGAGCCACTCGACGGGTGGCGCCATGGCGGCAGTTTCATGGCCCGATAAGAATCTGCCAAAGCCGCAGAAAAATTTGTGAAGCAACGCGCACATGATCTGCGCTGGTGCAGTGGACGCTTGATTCACCTGTGCTTTATTACCCGCGGGTCACATTGGAGATCAGCTTGTTGCCTTGCATCCCCATGTCATGCGCCAAGTCCTTGGTTTGCAGCGATCCCTTCGACAGGGCATGGCCGCATTCAGATACCAAGGGCCTGAAGACATCACGGCAGCCCTCGTCAGCCACACGGTGAGGGGAACACCTGGGGCGGCCTGTGACGCCATGAGATTATGTAGTTGCCACAAAATCGGCATAAGGAAAGAAGGTGCCCAAAAGTGCCACTAATGAGCAGCAAACAACCCGTGACTTGTTCCTAAACCTCCTGCAAGTGTTCAATCGTCAAAGGTCTTAGAATGGTTTAAAATGGATCAATTTGAAGCCATTGAGGCTGCCCGCCTCACATATAATGACATTTAGAATTCCGCTTATCAGTCCACTGAAATCACCACAAATCTGATTGTTTGTTGTCCTCAAAACCACTTAAATGTTGCATACCACTGTGGGGTAATGCTGCTGCGTCATCCTTGCAGCGACATAAGGATCGACGCTAAGGAAGGAGTGGGTCTGCGCTTAGCGTCAGTTGACGCTAAGCGCACCAAAATCGACGCAGCGTCCTCCCTAACTGGCCGAACTTTCTCTGAAGGATTTGTGTTTCCGTACTTCTACAGGGGCCATGACCTAATGTTCTCGCGTCACGCCGTGGCACACCGAAGGAATGCAAGTATCCCCACAAAGCGTCGCCGTGCTCGTTCCTTCTTGTCGTACATTCCTTAATGTACAGCCGGGAATGATGAGAACACAAAACCAAAGCTGGCGTGAGGCCACCATCAATCAGGCACCAGTGGAGCAGCTCTGCACGTCAGTGATACAGTGAATGAAGGCGTGGTCGTGGTGCTAACAAGAGTTCATCACGTGAATGCTTCAAACATCACCAATGCGCAGACTGCTCACTTAACCAGCCGTCTGAGCTTGGCATTGAAGAGGGTTGGTTCCAGGAGACCTGGCCACGGCACCCCCCTTTTTACATGCAACCAAATACGCGATCGTCAGGCCAGCACAATCTTCGGTCACGCCCGTCTTCCGTCCCATCAAGAATCCCGGTCCCATAGATTCTTATTCCCAAATACCCGATGCAGACATGAGTCAATAGCGGAATCATAAATAGTCGAATGGAATTTGCGGCACTCGATCAGCCAGCCAGTCATGCTTCCCACAGCCAGGGGCGACGGCAAGAATTTCAGACACATCTGCGGACCAAGCCTCCGGTGACACCCAGCATGGCTCTTCACTGTGTCGATTTGTCAGGCGGCGTCTTGCTTTCTTCAAGCATCTTGTTTGCCATCTGCATGAGCTGCTCGACATCGATACTGGAGGTGCTATTGTCGGGGCCGAACATCTCCTCAAGCAGGTGTCGCAGTTCTGGCTCGCCCAGCTGCTGCCCCAGGAATCCAAGTGCGGTTTCCAGCTCCTCGCGGGATATCTGGTCGTCGACATGCAAGCATTAGTCATCGAGTCACGCCGTCCAAATCAGCAGGGGCGAATATGGGGCTCCAGAAGACAACAAACAGCGAAGCAAGAGCCGAAGACATTGATATTAAGTCCGCGACTTTGGTTGGAACTATGCAATGCATGTATTGTTTCGCAATCTGATGTACGCGTATTGAAACTTGCAACATATTCAATTAAAGAGATATGTGCTTGAACAGTGATGCGAGCAGGAAGTGGCGATGCCCGTCGACGCATTGGAAGCAGTGAGTTGTGAACTGTGCCAATACTATCATCAGGGATTGGGGACCAAATTCGCGGAGGAAGCACATCTTAATAGAGAGTAATTACAAGCTGATTCAAGGCTATTCAAAATGGGTGTGCACTGTTGGGGACGGGCACCCACCAGACCATCGTCATCCTTGTCGAGGAGATGGAGTTTTTCGCCGATTTGACTGTCGACATCGTCGAGTTCCTTCTCAATCTTATGGAGTATGCTGGACACCTTTCCTTCCAGCCGTTTGGATATGTAGTCGCCAGGCAGCTCCGGAAGTTCTGCTGGTCGCCAAGCCTGAGCAACAGAACACCAGTCACCAGTGGCGGCACACTGGACTCCAGAGTACTCTACAGGGGATGTCGCTACCCAAACGACACCACAGGGCACCGAGCACATTGAGGTGGCCACAAGCCGACCCTAACCGACAGCAGAAAGCACAACGCACCTCAAGTCCTTTGCTGGTGAATCGCAATGAAGCCCCTCCTCTGTGGCTCAGGTCATCTTGTATGCGATTCACCTCCCGCTTCACCAATTCCATGAACTTGGTGCGCTCACTACTGACACCAGATTTGGAGGACAGTACAGCCAAGGCATTCAGCACCTGCAAGCACACAATTTTTGACGTGAAGGCATCAGACGTGACCCCAATGTGCCTCTTTCTGGCCTGGCACAACCATTGACTCAAGTTGCAGGCATCCCAGGGATCTGCAACAACTGCAGGTCCTCTTGCTGGCACAAGGCAACCAAATCCCAACATGGCTCACCTTCTTCATTTTCTGTTCCCTGGCTGCTGCAAGCTTTTGTGCACGCTCCTCTTCTGATTCATCTGATGCAGACTTGAAAGCATCGTTCAGCAGCTGCGCTTCTGCGGCTTGGACCACTGCGGCAGCTGTGGTGGTGGCAGCCATGGAGCGGCCATCACTGCCTGGAGATGCCATCTGCATAAAAAAACGACGTATGCGCAATAAACTCAGTTTGTGTTGCTTGCCTTGCATTGTATTGACATGTCCCTTAAACAGGCTACATTGAAAGAACCCACCAGTCTCCACAGTTCCTGCAGGCCTGAGAAGTAGGAATGGCGAAAGGCTTGGCCCAGTACACTTGAGGTTCAACCTAGCCCAAGTGTCTTGAGTACATCAGGGGAGTTTGCAGGTCAGGGCTCACGGTTGTGGTGCTCAGGGTCTATAATTAGGTCCAAGTCAACTTGTTGCAGCTGTTTGTATTCGAATTGAATTGTCATATGGATGTTATTGGCGCCTTGTGAGTGTGGAGCAGGTAAAACCAACGCCAGGTCGACTTACTTTCCCCTCAATTCGAAGTAAACTGAGCCTCTCCATCTAAAAGAAAATATTTGTGGAGGACCACTGTCTATTGCACTGCACAGCTCACCAAGTGGATATATTTTATTGAATCCCGCACTGGAGTTATCTTCATGATTTTGGGATGTCTCCACTTCAAAGTCTGCAATACCTTGTACAATAAACCATCCAGGCTACTAGAATGTACCTCAGGGGTTTCCGTTGACCGTTCTGTCATCAGGTCTTGTTGCGCCTGCGCCTCAGCTTCAACACGAATCAACTCCTCCTCACGTTTAATGTAGTTCAACTTCTTTGCGTTGTCCTCAGCCCTGTCATCCCAAAGGTCTGTCAGCTTTGAGTCTTATTTAACAAAATGCCAATGCACACTGTGGAGGCTCCCACGCACAGCCCCACCGATGATGCACTGCTGGCAAGGCTTTGTACCAGTAATACTTACTCATCTCGCAAGACCTCCATGGCCACATCTTCAGTGACAAACTCTGGCAGCGTGGACAGCGTGTTCTTGAAGCTCTCAAGCTCCAGAGCCTTCTTCTTTTCCATGTCCACGATGGGAAGTGTAACCGTGAATGTGCGAGACAACAGCAAGAGCGAGGATGGCAGTGCCCTGGAGAAGAGACACGACAACCAAGTCTGCTCAGTTTGCAACAGATGGAGTCCATGACCACCAGCCACCTCAGCAAAGGCTTACCTCCACAAATCTTGCAGGAGCCCAAGTCCTCTACACTAGCACAAACCTTCACCTTTTTGTAGCACTGCCAAAGAGAAAACAAGAAAGAGGCTGCAACACAGCTAATGATGGTCGTTGTTCCAGTTTGATCAGCAAACTTTGCCAGTCGCGGTTAGTGCTACATGCATAATTTGGGCTGTATGATCACTACAATCAGGTATGTTGAACAGCTATTGCATTTGTGCTGATTCTGCATTCGCATCAACCAGGGTGAAAGAACCCCTATTTTGCTATGTTGCATACTGAGGGCAATGAATCTGTCAATTTCCACAGCACCTGTTCCTCTACTGCACCTGTCCAGGCTTAGCTCCAGCCAATCCTCCATTTGAGTTTTCATGAATTCCCTTGCCCCTTCCCCATAGGGTGCTCTCATGCCACGGGCACGGCTCGCTTGGCGCAGCTCATCTTCGGTCAAAGCATCCACACCTTCTGAGCGAATGACAGAGTCATCACGTTTGATGTAACCCAGATGGGCTCGCAGGCGAGCACGTAGGAAGCTGTCTGTTCCAAAAGGAGATAACCCCACAAACTGTCGCACAAGAACAGCCAAGGGTCATACAACTCCGAGAATATCTCGCATTTTTATTGAACATCTACCTTGCTGGCAGACAGCAGAAGCTGGAATGTATTGAATGGTGCACAACACTGATTTGAGCTCTGCCTTGCATCACTGTGGCTTTAGTAAATGGCAAACAGTGCTGTCTACACATATCCTCCAGGCAGAATGTCAGCTAGCGCCAGGGCAGAAACACTGTTTTCACCTGACTAAACCCAGTGGCTGTTTGGGAAGAGTCCCACCTGGCACATGCTCACAAGTTGCACACGGTCCAGGTTGTCCAGTGTAAGCTCATCATTGAACAACTGGCCAAAGCGAACGATGTCATTGTTGTCCACAGGTTCACCCTTCCGAATCTGGAATGTCAGGCAGAAACTTAATGTAAACGACATGAAGACAACTGACAGCCATACAAACCAGATGCCGACCCCAGGAAAAAAATTGATCCTTAAGGCCGATTCCAGTGCTTGGTGCTGTTCGCAACCAAATACGCAATCTGTAATCTTCGCAGGTGAGCCCAAAGACTTTTCGGAACAAAGGTGTCTGTTGCATATGGGAAACGGGCCTCAGTACTGATGGCAATACTATTGAATCTGTGTGAAACGTCCATAAAACATTGTAGGAATCTGAAACCCAGCGACTTGCTCTTTTGTATGAAGGGTTTCTTTCAGTTTCCAACAATTCTCAGCTCTTACAATGGGCAAGCATTGGCAGCTGGCAAGACTAAATTGTCATTTGATCTGCCGGGTGCACATGCCATTTCGTAACTTATTCCCATTCTGCAGAATGTTTGGCAATCCATGGGTTTCAGTCCCACAGGGCGGTACCAGCTCACAGGGTTCTCAAGGTGTAATCTTGACACACATCTGCACTGGTACTAGTGTCAACAGGATGAGAGCCTGGCATGGCCAGACAACTATAGACCAAAACACCAGGCAGGTCACCCGAAAAATGCACTGAAGCACATTTGGTACAAAAACAGCCCAATAACTGAGCGCACTGACAGACAGATAAATCTGCAAGACACGATTCCAGCAGTGCCCACTGAAGCAAAAATAATGCTACTTCCCAAGGGACTGCAACTAGTGCCAAACAACAGATTTGTCACTATCCCTGCTGCATGAAGCTAAACGCAGAATCTCAGTGTGGCAAACCAAAATGGATCAAAACACTTTCCACCAAAGGGAGGACTTAGGTGCAATATTTGGAGCAGGGGGTGTCAGAGCTTTTTTATCAATAGGATGCAAACCAGTTGCAGTCAGATAAAAACACAAGGCCTGCAAATGCTGTGGCAAGTTCATCGCCTACATGAACCATGAGCCTTAACACTTACATTTTTCATGAATTGGTAGAGTTCTGCTGCAGATGCCTGGACTTCTCCTGTCCGTTTTTGTCTGAGGTCCCTTGCCATGAGAGCCACTGCATCTTGAAGAAAACGTGCCACTTCGAGTTTTGCTGCAACTCTTTTCTTCAGCTCTTCCTCCTTCTTCAGTTTGTCTTCAAAAGTTGAGGGAAGCATGTTGGGGAACAGTCGCAGAGCGAGCGGCAGCAAAAACTCCAAGAAAGGAACCACCTAGTCAAAGCAGCAGAATGGACTTTTGGGGCATGATCACACCATGCAACGTCCATCTCAAAGGACATCATGTGGGTGGACAGTTGCCCAAAACTTTTGTTATATGGAGTTTTTTTTGTTGGCGTCACTGTTCGTACCAGCATTATCACCATTGGCACAAGGCGGAACACATCCGCCACAGTCCTCTTCAACTGCTTGTCTTCACGCCTGCTCACCACAGGAGAACTCCATCTCAGTTTGAATGTGTAGTGGAACTTACTGATGCCATCACCTTGCAAATTTGGATTCAAGGCACATATTTCTCCCACGAAAAAGCTCAGCTTAGGGGGATCGCCCCCACAGGAGGCCAACAGCGTCGTTTACCAAATGGCACTTGCAGTTGGAAAATGGCAGCATGAGGTCCTGCTAGCAATCAAAATCAAGACTTCCAGGGGTCCAAAGCAATAAGGCAGCTCAAACTAAGCAGTGCATCATCTGCACGTCCAATCAGCAGGGACTCCAGTTGTGACGACTGTTCACCTGGTTAGTTCCTTCCCCTTGAGGATCTTGAACACCAGTCTGGTCGCTATACTCATATCCGTCACCAACAGTCTAGTTCCAACCTGATTCAACAGAGAATTACCTGGTCATGCAACCAGGAACAAACGATACGATAAGATTTGAACAAGCAATACGATGAGATCAGCAACACTGGTCTGGAATGCACGCCCAACATCGCCTCTAAGGTGCAAGGGCAGTGTTTTGTCATGTTATATGACAAATGTAATCAAAGGATTTGAGCAACCAGGAAAGAAGAACCACACGAAGGATAATCCATGCTCCCTCGCAGAGCGCCCCCTAGCGTATCTGAAGCCACCCATTGGATGTGCCGATCTACCAAAGCGTGTACAACCCAGTGGGCCAATGCAGGTGCATCAATGCAACCAATTGGGGAAGGGCATCGCTTCTGCAGCTGCATTGATACCATCACACACCTCCAGGGTGGGGAAAGAGGTTTTGCACCAGTGAGGACCCAACGAACAGTCACATGCACCAATGATTGCTGCCCACAATTGCTGGCAAAGTGCAAGGCCGCCGTTGTGCCTGCGAAGGCTAATTCTGTCCATCACATTCGACCACGCACCCAATAATGCCTCGCCCCATCTTTCGTGTGCTTCCACGTGGAGCGAATCCATTCCACTTTGCTGGACATCGGAGCCGTGATCGCCGCCCAGAGACTGAGCGGCATCCTCACGATCAAGCGAAGGCACCAAACGATCGTCTTGGCCACCACCCCCACCGCCCTGGAAGCCACAGTCGTCAAGGGAGCCGCGCTAGCGGGAAACGACGACCTGTAAGACTTCTCCAGCAGCCGGTCGTAGTCGTCGATCGCCCGATCGCACTCCTCAGCGGACGCCTGGCTCTTCCCAGGCCTCTGTTCCTTGGACCCCTTCCCCAAAGGCTCGCCGGACACCAGTGGCGCCTTCGGCTGGGACTCCTCCTCCACTCGAAAGGGCTCCGCAGACAGCATACGGGAGGAATGGATTGGACACCGGGCGCCAATGCCAACATACCCCGAGCACCCGCCATCACGGCCCACTCTGGCGCGCTGAGCCCACAAATATGGCATCGACCATCCACAAACCTCCGGGCCGAAGTGCGGAGTCATGCGGTTGCCCGCAGAGCCCTTCTCGCCTGTCCATGCTTCGCCCAACGCGGTGGAAGAAGCAAAGGACAGGGGCGCCTGCCCGAGATTCTGAACGGCCGCGGTCGCGACGGCGTCCCAGTGGGCGTCCTGCGCGTGGCGCGCGCCCCCCGCGCGCCGCAGGGCGCTCCCCAAGGACCTGCTGAGCATCGGGGTGGCGCCCCGCGTTCGCGGCAGCGCTGGCCCACGCCACCAGTCCCAACAGCACCAGTGTCAGTGAAAACCCGCCTGTTTACTCACCGCATATCATTCAGCGGCAGGTCTACCGGTATACTTTACCAGACACTTTTCGTTCCCACTGTAAAATATTAAACCCTTCCGCATAATATCGTCACGCTTGGCCTTGTTTTGCGGATAAAATATCACAAATAGTAACGTAAATCTTGGCCTTTCTGTGCGGAGCGACGTAAAAAATATTAAAATGGCGCTCAGAAAAACAAAGTGCGGAGCAAAAAGCGTAACGGTGAAAATTTCTGATGCGGAAGGGTTGAATACTTCACAGCACTATCCATCGAAAGCCCACTCACTCATTGGCCAGGTCGCGCTGTTGATGTTCTTCATTCCACGACGATTTGCTCAGCACGTTTTTGACTGTCGTGTCCTTTGCCGCCGTCGCCGCTGCCAGGGCTGCGCAGCACCGTCGCGAGAGTTGGCGCCCTCTCTGCGACCCGGGGAAGCCCTAGAGGGGAACGCCTTTCAACCCGCACGTTTGATTCACGAGCCATCGCCGCAGCTGCAGACCTTAATCGACCCAAGAGCGCATTCGACACTCTTGACACGTGATTGTCACCCAGCGCGCGCTGCGGACCCGATGGTGGAGGTCCACGTCCCACATCGTGGTCGCGATCAAGCACACCCCCGGGCGCGGGCGGGAGCCGCAAACCCGGTCTCCGCTTTCCAAAAATTCACTACAGGGCCCGTGGGCCCCCAACTCTGTTGCCCAAGGGGGCGCTGATTGCATCCCTTCCCGCGGTCACCGTGCCAATGGCTGCCGCAACAGAGCGCTGCAAGTCTCTCGAGTCGCTCCGTGGCCCGGTGGGAGCCCTCGCCGGGACGGCAACGCCAGGCTGCGCATTTGGGCGCCGGTCATCGCCCCTGCCGCGATCGACGCCGGCGGTGGTCTTGATTGCCGCCGCGACGACGCGGGATCGCGCCCGGAAGGCACGCCTCGAACGCAATCGGACGCGGCGCGCCGCAGCAACGACACCGATAGCCGCGATCCTCCCGTCGACCGCCCTCGAGCGCAGCCACCGGCCCACCTGGGGATGCATGTCCACAGCACCCGACTCGCAGAGCCCCGCCACTCACGTAATTTCCATGTCATAGGTTCGATTCTTATACAGGAACGCTGAGTCAGACTCCAAATAATATTAGGTCACTTCAGAAGTACTTTAGAATCGGTTCCTCATATTCCCGACATACGATGTACTCAGATCGTGTCCGATCGTGGTCTGCCAACTTGACGACCCTGGGTACCTCCTGTCTGCGTTTCCAGCAGGGTGCCATGGGGGAAGACCTTGGGCCTGTGCGCCTGCGCGAGTCGCAGCAAAAGGGCCGCCACCTCGTGGCCGGCCCCGCCTTCCTGCCGGGCGCCGTCGTGCTGTCCCGGGCCCCCTACCAGGCAGTCCTGTACGACGACCAAGTCCCGCGCCGCTGCGGCTTCTGCTTCCGCGCCGGGGCCGGCCTGCGCAGGTGCGGGAGGTCCAAGTTCGCGCGCTACGACTCTCTCGACCACCAGAGGAGGGACTGGGAGGACGGGTACCGGGAGGAGTGCGCCGCCCTTCGCCGCGTGGCGCCCCGTGTGCCGCCAGCGACGGTGCGGCTGGCCGCGCGGGTGTTTTGGAAGAGGATGAGGTGAGCTGAAGCCGGCGGCTGGGGCGGCGCGGGCCGCCACTGCGTCGCGAGAGAACGGGCGGTGGTGGGGGAGGCCAGCGGCGTCGACGCACCTCGGCGATGGCGCGAAACCACGTTTGATGGCATCTGATGGCACTTTTTTTGTGAAAATGTGGTAAAAGCCCGCTGTTGGACAAGTGCCCGACGTGGGGAACTAGTCAGTAGCCTATCTGCGGTTGGAAGCCATCTTTTTTCCCGTTGCTGTTGTCCAGCCACGAGGAACGAAGACAGTGTCTCGGGGAGTGGCTGGAACAGGCATGTTGCATCGCTTTGCAGGTTAACTCCAGTCACATGTGGAGCCATGGATTCCCACAAAATCTTCTCGCGGAATAATGCAGCCAGGTTCACAAATCCAACTATTACTCTTTGGCATCTTGGCCTCCTGGCTTGTCCCAGGTGCAGGTACTGGGGCAGCAACAAGTCCAGTGGGCACACCCATTTGGCAGTCTCTAAATAGACCCTTATAATATCAGCACACAATTTCAATGGATGTCGACTGTTGACTTCGTATACAGTGGGGATCATTTCTCATATCTTTTTCGTTAGACAGGCCCGTGAAGGGGAGGTTGAAGACAAGTGGGATGCAAGTGAGGCAATCGATGGCCTCACCTCCCACTGGGAGAAAATCGACAACAAACGAAAAGTGATGTATGCACAGATGGCGGTCACCACAAGGTATGAAGTCATTGTTGTATCTGGGTGGGTTGAGGCGGGATGCTGTGCAAACTCAAGAAGGATCCTAGTGGCCAACAGTAATATCCTTCCAAAGTCATGAGCATAGGTGGCTTGAGAGCACCATGAAGTCCATTCCCATACCAATAACTGGATGCTACAGTGAAACTTGTTGGATAACTAGGCAATTGCATACAATCTGCTGAACCTGTGCATGGGTCTGAAGGCTTTTGTTCTGTGAAGTGACTGTGTTCCTGGTATGTCGTTCTGTTGAAAGACAAACTGTGTATTGCACAGCAACCAGGTGGGGCTGGACCGTTGCCATATGTCTGTGCTTCACTGCAGAAACCATATGCCTGCAAGCGTGGACCTCAACTGGCTTGCTGTGCTGACTCTTCTGCACATAAGACTACCAAATGAGTAGTTCAATTCACGGCCCCAAGGGTTTGTGGTTGCCAGTAAATGAGCACAGCAAATGAAAGCATCCTGTGCATGGAATTATTGAAATCAATGTCAATACCTTTTGCAATGCATTGGTTGATCTCAAAAGAAGTGGAAATGAGTGGACCTTGTAAAGATTTAGTTGATCTTCGGAGCAGATGCAAGAGCTGGGGAGTTCCACAGTCTCCAGACCAGGAAATGGGGTACTGCAGTGGAAAATTTGGTGTGAACACAGCACCGTCAGACACATTGTGTGATTTTAGTTGTGGTGGTTTTGGTGCCGTGCAGGGAGTTCATGAGAGCAGCAATGCAAGGGACTGATGAGTCTGCATTGCCTGAGGTCAAAGAGATTGCGCTAATGCTGGCTAGATTTGCCTGCAACAATCACACCATTTGTGACGATGAGCAGAGTCCTGTCGGTGTAGGAATCTACCCTCTGATGGCCCTTGTCAACCACTCCAACACCCCAAATTGCGTGCAAGCATACAAAGGGAAGCAGCTTGAATTCAGGTGATCCAACCACACATATTCTTGGGTGGGACCAGCTGCAATCGCTGATCTTGGGTCAGCAGTGTAATTTTATTGATCACAATTGTCAAAAATTGGCAAAATCACAGCTCCTACACCTGCAAGGCGATGTCTGGCATGTGGCTGTGCACAGGTTGTCCACAACACGATCTCACAAGCTCCAGAATGAGCAGTTCCATTTGTTGCCATTCACAGCAGACATGATAGGAACAAAGGCAGATGGACATGGCACAGTGTATCTGAAAAAGAACTTTGACTGTGGCTTTGGAAGTCCATTTTCGGGACTTCGCAACGATACAAGTGCAGCCGGTAGCTTACTGACCGTTGATTTGTGTCGTGGTTACTTCTTCATTTGGGACATGTGTAGCTGCACAGGGCTGTCAGGCGAATTGAACCAGGGGAGGAGGTGACCATCAGCTACATTGATTTGCTGTCAACACACCAAGAGAGGAGGGAGGCGTTGATGCACAATTACTTTTTCGACATTGATGAAGTGCAAAGGCCAGTTTCAGCGTCACCTGAGGTTGGCAAAAATTCTCTGGAGAAGACTTGGCTGCTGGACGGAAGAAGGGTGGCACTCACCGTGCATGGCAGGAATGATGGTTATTGGAAGAATGCAGACACCACAGATCGTGCTCTCACAGAAATTCTTTTTGACAATGGCAAGGAAAGAGTTCAGTTGGGGGGACTTATGGCCTTAATGAAAACGAACGATGATGACAGCTATGGTCACGACGAGCCTGATAATGGTGCATCACGTGGAGATTCATTGGAACATGGTGATGAGGATGATGATTATGTTGCTGTGGATATGTGGGGACCCAGGCTGCATGACATTGATGCCAGCCATCTGGAATCGATTGCCTGCCAAGCTGCCAGCTTAGTAATTATGCTGCGGCGTGGCGATGCCCTCACAAAGAGACAAGATTTTAGAGCAGCCATGCGGTGAGCAGTGCCTTGTTGTCTCGATAGAATCATACTCTTCCCAGCATCTTCATTTGTGCCGCTCCATAAGCAGACATTGCACTTTGCTGCCTCTGAAATTATGTTGTGGCTGTTGGAGGTGTTTTGTTTTGAGTAGGTGCTGTGATGCTTGGAACAGGGCACTCTCCACTGTACGTGATCTGGCATCAGGGCCATTGTTCCCTTCATATTTCTTGGGTCCTTGCCACATTCTTCAAGTCGAGGCTGCAAAAAAGTTTCTGAGAGCAGCCATGGATGAGGGCTCAAGCTGGGAGGCTGCCCTGCAGTCAGCACGATTCTTGAAAGCCCCCTACTCGAAAGTGTATCCCAGCGTTTGGCCAAATATGGGCCTGCATTGGGCGATCATGGCAAAGCTGGAGCTGTTTTGTGGGGATCCTGCAGTGGCAGCTCGAATCGCGGACAAAGGTGCCAGGGTGCTGCAGATCACTCATGGGGACAGCTCTGTGCTGGAAGATGCGTTGCGATTGAGGTATGATGCAGAGAGATGTCTGGCCGAAGCGAAAAGATCTGAAGATGATGAGGTAGACTGCTGACTGTTGGACAGTGCGACTCAGGAGAAAGGAGTGTCAAACTGGGATAAGAGCTGTGTCTACCATGACATTAGGAACAACTGTAAGCCTATCCATGTCAATGTCTGTCTAATTATGGCCTGTACATCATTACTCAGCAGCCCAGCAGCAGGGAATACCTATCAGAGAGATGCTCAGAGCGTCTGAATTCTACCCCGTTCATCTGACTTCTTGCTATTCAGTGTCCGTGCAATTTTCTACCCACCAGCCGCTTTCTGAGAATGCCGGTACAGGGAGTGCTGTTGTTGACCATCTTCCTGTCCATCAACTAGTGCTTATTGGCTCAGCTGCTCTGGACATGCACCCTGGCCCCTGTTTTCTGTACTTCAAACTCTTGTCGTTGCAGTCAGTGGGCCGGCGACGTTCCCAAGTTATCAATAAAGTCGTCTCCGGAACGTTATCCTGCATTCCTGGCTGCCTCGGCCTGCTCCTTCTCATCGACGTCAACGGGCACCCCGTCTAACTTTTTTAACGTTGGAAGCCGCTTGAGCACCTGGGGGCGAAGACACGCAACCGAATTATACCGTACCTGCTGTGCCTGTCTGCTGATAGCCATCTCACTGAGTGGGACAAGGGGCCGGTATGTGTGGGAGGACACATGCATCCACCCAATGAACGGGAGGTTGTGCGAAGGTGCACAGCCTTCAGTTTGTTCCTTAGATATGGGCTACGCAGTATGGCAGTGGTTAGTGAAAGTTCAACAACCCTGCCAACTTCTCACCTCTATCCTGTACTCTGGAGTATTATTTGGATCGTAAATAGGGTTTCCCACGAACAGGACTTCTTCCAGGTGTTCCAAGGCCGCGAGTCTCTCAACCTCCGACCAGTCCTTCAGCCTGTTGTTCGACATATACAGAACCCGGAGATTTGTCAGCTTCTCTACGCCGCCCTGTCAGCATACAGTACACTGGCGATCAGAGCAAAGCGGCAGAATTGTGTAGCTTTGCGGAGGAGCGCTTACCAAAAAAGGCGGCGTTTAATCCTGTGTCGCGAATGGGCGGGAAGCGCCCTTAATAGATGGCAACTATGCACCCCACACAAAGAGCGCATGGAACCTGTCCAGGGCTTTGACTGTCCAGGCTGATGTCAGGCACGCGACGTGTGGGCTAATTGCGGGTAATGTATTTACAAGCCCAGAGATGATTGACCCGGGAAGACATTGGCTGGAGAGGAAAAAAGATGCGGCGACAACTGGAAGTGGGAATTTCAGTTTCACTGGCGAGGGAGGCTGCGTTCGCCGTCTGAAGGGCAGCAGAGCACGGTTCTTGCGAGGACAGCGCGTTTCAATCCGCACTCACCAGCCTTTCGAGAAGATTGTACGATATCCACAGCTCCTCCAGGGTGTCCGCAACGCCATCCAGATTCTCAATCTTTTTGATTTGGTTACGCCCCAGCGACAGGATCTTCAAATTGTCCATTCCTGACAAGCTGCTTATCTTCTCTATGTTGTTGGATGACAAGGAAAGTTGGCTGCATAAAAATGAGAAGAGCAATGTAAGGACATTGGGCTATGGGCCTTACAGCGAGTAAGTCTGATTGACAAGTCGCTGCGAACTCACATCGATGCAAGCACGGGTATCATGCTGAGATGGTTATATCCCAAGTCCTCACGTGCATGCCTTCAATGTCGACAGCGTCGCATCCATTTTCTCAATTGGTGGTATCTGTCCCCAGAGTTCCACCTGCGACGAGGAATATCCTCATGGCGTCAAATTTGTGATTCACTTATTGGTATTATGAATCGCACCATCTGCAGGAAAAGCTATCTGCAGTGCAAGGTTGCAGCAGGGTTCGCACAGGTTCGTTGCTGCATGGCACCAGGGGTTTGGCTACGGCGCTGCTCTCCAAAGCTACTTTGAAGACTCAGCAAGCAACAGAAGCAGAATGGCGAATTGGAGCGGCTCAGAAAGCATGCAAAGCACCACCATTCGCTACGCTGTTCGCAATGTCACGTCCACACAGCTGCAAGAAAACGCGTCAAGTGCACTGTCGTCCAATTTCCCATTCATAGACGCTCAAATATGTACTCCAGCACTTCGGCCAATTCAAAGCTGTATTGTGCACGGCGAGCCTCTAGGCTGCACAATGTGCTCCAATAACATCAATATTCTTGAACTCGCGTCCAAGGATACTAGCAATAACTACAAGGCAATAAATGCGCTTTTCGTGTTGTCCTTATGCCTTCCAAGGCAATCACCTTTTCGACTTCTCCCGCATTCACACCCTTCGCTTCCTCAAATTTTTTGATGGCCTCTTTTACTGTTGTGGGCTTGGCCATCGAGCTTTATGGATGCATATGCAATCCAAACTCTATCATCAACACAGAACGATTCACTATCCCACGCTGGCTATGGGACAGAGCAACCGCAGCGTTAATAGGTGATGCAGGATAGAAACAGAAAGAATTTCACTTCTAGTTCATTTTGCGCAAGAAACCTTGTGCGGTGTTGAGATTGTTGTGACCTGCGCCTCCCAGAAGATCGCCGCTTTCCCCACCGCCCAATCTCTACAGTATCTTCAGGTCTCACAATTTTGTGAGATCTGTATACAACTGCAAACACAGGCACTGCCCTGAACATAAGGGGCGTACTGCGGACTTCGCGCTCTATATCTGCACAGAGGAATGCACCTGCAACGTAGGCCTTGTCTCTTCCACTGGACGATGTGTTGTCGTTGTTGCTGTGAGGGGTCAGTTTCGCTGTTTTGACGACCCTCTGACGATCCTCCACTTGCCTCCAGTTCTTTACAGCGGCCTTGGCCGTAAGGTTCGCAGAAGCCAGATGGTAGCGACAGCCGATACGGGCAACGAAGCTGTGGGGGATAATTTCTGTAGCCACAGGCCGCTTGGCGTAAGATAGCGTCAACTGTTGACGGTACTGCCACGAAGTTCATCAGATGTCAAAGACATCTAGTCAATAAATATTGCGTGTCCCACAGCGTCCAACCCAACGAACTCATGTGTGCACCAAAATCTGCATGCAGGGTCACGTTGTCGAATTGGAGACCATTTAGAGCCCAGCTATCACCTTCCTGCTGTTCAAGAGCTTTAGTTGTGTCGAATTCCACAGTGTTGAAAGAACTGCTGTCCGATTGCGTCATTTCAAATTCACATGAAGTTCAAGTTCAAGCACTTTGACCATTGCTGTTTGGGCCGTTTCACTGCATTCACCTTCGGCAAGAATATGGGTGACTTGCAGGGAATATATAACATCCCGATCACAGATGACCAGCGACCTCGGCGAGTCTCGGCGATGCTGAAAGAGCATGTGGACGGTGCTGTGGGTGTTGCCTTTCGTGAATGCATTTGGAACTATTCCTCGTCATTGGATAATGGTAAATTTGGACTGAGGTTGATGCCATTTTGCCGCATGTTTCATTATCAATGGGTCCAAGCTTCCCGGCACAATAATCGCCTTTTGGGAAAGGGTTACCAAGTGCCTGTCACAACCACAGCTGGTCGCGTGCAACCGCAGCCTTATGCCGTGGAGGTGCAAAAGGGAATTCCTTCATGCAATGAACCATTCTTGAAACCATTACTTGACTGGATTTTGAAATCGTTTGGCTTGTTGTAGCTCACGGAAACCATTTCGATCAAAGAGTCGTGAGGGAGTTGGATGACGTATGTAATCACAGCCCCAACTGGCACAATGACCTAGGACTCCATGCCACGGGACTGGGTGACACTATTTTCTGTTTCTTCGTTTGTTAATCTGTGTTTCAAAACTGATCACATTGAATTACAGAAAATCAGCGGCGCGAAGGTGACCATCTCAACAAAATCACAGCGTTCCTCTGCTGTGCTTGGACTGTTCAATGTCCCAAATCAGGCCCTAGCACGACAAGGCCATGATTTCTGTCCCTGGAAATTGGAACAGGCAGCCGCGCAGGCGCTCATAAGATTCAGGTTGTGGTCCATGGCAGTAAGCCGCAACATTCGACGCCTGTCCGTGTGACAGAATCATGAGCAAACTTCAAAGAAAAAGGCAAAGTTAAGATATTTTGAACCTAATTCAAACTGAGCGTTGCTGTTGTTGGTGGTGGGGGTGGGGTGGGGTTGGGGTAAGGCGCATGCTAAGTGCAGCCTTCTCAAAGCTGATACACAAGAGCAAAATGTGTGTGCATCCTCGCATAATGGAAATGCAATTGTGCCAACAAGATAAGCTGTCATCTGTTCCTGCGATAATCATCCCCCATCAACCAAAGCAAGATCCTGTCAAGAGGCCCCTTGATCCACCAGCGGACGAATAATATCACCGCCTGACCCGTACATACAACACACGATGCAGTCAGCACTGCACAGCTTTTCAGCTTTACCGATGCAATCCAGTTATGCAACCTTGAACAGGCCTCCATGGCTGCTCTGAAGAGGAACTGACAACTGTGCAGGAGCTACTCACAACACTAGCCTGGCAATCGTGGGATGCAAGTTGGCAGCTCCGTGGTCCACATTTGTTGTAATGTTCAGGGAGACATGGGAGCACTCGACCTTAAAAACCCATCCTCAACACAAGCACTCCGCAATTGGAGTGGCAAATGTACAGTCAAGAAACTGATCCTGACAGTGAACGGATACACTCACCACGATGAGGAACACACCAGTGCCCATCACTGGCAATGCATCCACAGGGATGCCCCCAACAACGTTCACCAGGACTGCAAACACAAGTGCACAGATACCTGAGAGATGTGACAGATATGAGCTCTATTGCAACTGGCAAATTGATTTGAGACACAGCCATGTGCCCAACACTTAACTATGAACTGCAACAAGCACAGCAGGGTGACACAAGAACACATCCAAATGGGCACAACTAGGTAATGTTTCACATGCAGTAGTGTACATGAACCACTGAGACATTTGCTGCATTAAGGACACTCTGGCACATGTGCTCCATTCTCACCTATGTTGAAAATCAGCCATTCTTCTGGCGGCCGATTGATGGCAGATGGGCGCACTCCTGCAGGACTGGCAGAAACACTCACAAGAGCATGGCCAGCTGGGATGCCCTGGACAAGGCAATCTTTGTGTCAGTGGTGCCAACTGCCAGGGGCCACCGAAGTTCTCCATTGCATCAGAAAACGTAGGAGTCATTCTTTTCCAGGAAAGAGTGGAAAGGATGTCCAGGGCTGTCAGGAGGAAGGACATCAATTTCTGCATATTACATTGGTTTTGCTTCAAGAACACTTGCCAGAGATACACTCCACACATGCCCAACTCATGCCAACAGTGCCAATGAGACACAGCCAATGACAAGGAGATAAGAACAATTGTGGCTCATGCTGTCGATTCTGGCGTGAGTTGGCTGCTGTAACTAAAAAAGCATGGCAATACACATTGGCAGCCTTGCGCTACCACAATGCATAGATCCTGCAAACGAGGGGATGCCCCTCATCACACCTCAATGGTTGCATCCAATTCCACATGAAAGGGAAGTTTCTCCACATTGAGTAGGCGCCTGCATAAGCAGGATACTAGGTGGTCACCAGCCAGCAAGCTGCAAGCCAAAGAATGAAATCAAATTTGTTTTATCTGCACCTGCTGCTACGCTGCAATGCTCCTTCAGCACCACCAGCGTTGGGGATAATTTTGAAAGAGATGGCAGCAGGAATCTGTGTTCATGCCACACACAGCCACGTTAATTCAGACGCACTCACATCACATTTGTTGTGAGTGATCCAACTGAACGAATGCCAGTGTGTCTCAAATGCAGCGACTGATTGAACGCACTACGGCTCGCAGAGCACAGTGGGAACAAAAATGGCGCCAGTGGCTCCAGCTTCAGCAATTCCCTCCCCCGTTTGCCAGCATAGCCGTTCATACACGTTTTTCACCGAATGGCTGGCAATGCATGGAACGCACTCACCGTGGCGGGGTAGGACACACGGAGTTCGTACGTGCTCCCTGGTTTCAATCCCGTCATTTTGTAGCTGCGGTATGCCCAACGTGTTAAAACTGGCTCGTTGGGTGCAAAACGTGAGGGGCAAAGGCTCCAAATCCGCACACATTTTGACATCAGTCCCCATCCTTAGGCGCTCCCTTTTCCTGGGGATGTTCTCGCGCAGCTCGTTTATCTCAGAAGCGTCTCCCAGCTCGATACTTAGGAGTGTAGCAGCCGCGATCAGCACGCCGGCCCTCAACATCGCAATTTTCGAATCCTGTTTGGGCAGTTGTTCTTGGCGGCTGGTTCAGCGATTGGCCATGGCTGCCCACGAAGGTGATACTTCATAGCACATTTTCAGGTTAACGGTCGGTGAACAGAACAGTTTAATCCGGCCAGCGACATCCCGGAAGTACAGCCGCAGGGAGAGGGCGGACACTGCGGCTGAACGCTGTGTTTCGCTGCTGATGACGATTGCAGCGGATGTCCCTTGCTTTAAGCCAGTGTCGATATCGTCTTCAGCCTTAGGTTTTGGAGCATTTTCTCGCAAACCTGTGGTCCATCTCCCAAAGCCAGCAATCAACCACACATTTCTGATTGAGAAACTACACGGATATGCACGCAGCCCAATGGCAAGCACTCAAAGGGCTTGCTCGTCATACCCAGCGTCGCCACAGCAACGAACACCGGTGCGCCTGACCCGGCATTTGAGTCCCTCAACACGACTCGAACAGCACACCCAACGGAATGTCGGGACGGTTTCATAAGGCCCCGGGCCACTGGCTCCGGGCCCGCGCAACGCGCGAGGGAGGAGAGAGAACATTCCAGCGGTACCTCACACGCCCCCCAAAATCCTCACATGGCCGTCCGCTTATCTCATTCCCTCCCCCGCGCCCTCCCCACGACCTAATTGGCGCCCTTTGGCAGCCGTCGACCATCCCCTCCCGCCGCGCCATCCCCCGAGCCGCGCCAGCAATCGCGACTCGCGCGCCGCCCCACCCGCCAGCCGCAGGGACCGCGCGCAGCAAAGATGACGGCGGTCTGCGAGCAGCTCACCGACGACCAGATCGCGGAGTTCAAGGAGGCGTTCGCCCTCTTCGACAAGGATGGCGACGGTGGGCGGCGGCAGAGAAACTGGCCGGGACCCGAGATCTGGAGGGTCCTGGGGCCGGGCTCCGGGAGCCGTGGGTGCGCGGGCTGGAGAGGGTGTTTTTCCGCGGCTGGCGCGGCTGACTGGGGCTTGTGGGCGCCCAGGCACGATCACGACCAAGGAGCTGGGCACCGTTATGCGGTCCCTGGGCCAGAACCCAACGGAGGCCGAGCTGCAGGACATGATCAATGAGGTGGACGCGGACGGCAACGGGACCATCGACTTCCCGGAGTTCCTGAATCTTATGGCCAAGAAGATGAAGGTGTGCGTCGGTTCCAGTCTCCCGGACGGGACCGCGCGGGCCCCGGGCCGAAAGGAGCGGCTGCCTGGAGGGCGGGGGGCCCGCCCCGAGCGGGCACCTGTCCGGACGTTTTCGGGACTTACAAATTTCTGCGCCTGCGCAGGACACGGACAACGAAGAGGAGCTCCGGGAGGCGTTCAAGGTGTTCGACAAGGACGGCAACGGCTTCATCTCGGCAGCAGAGGTGAGCTGGGCGCTGTGGGGCGCCATGCCTCCTGTCTGGCTCTTGTTGTGGCAATCTGGCGGAATGGCCGCGGCCGGGCGCCCTGGTGGCACCCGGCGGCGGCCTTGGGAAGGGGGACTCCGGTGCCGGCAGCCGCTTCTGGACGGACAGGGGTCGTGGCCACCGGCGTGGGGTTGGGTTTGAGGCGGGTTGTGTGTCGCTGTGCCGCGCAGCTCCGGCACGTTATGACCAACCTGGGCGAGAAGCTGACGGACGAGGAGGTGGACGAAATGATCCGTGAGGCGGACGTCGACGGGGATGGGCAGGTGAACTACGAGGAGTTCGTCAAGATGATGATGGCCAAGTGAGGGGCGCGCCGCTGAGGGCTGTCGGGTGTCGTGGAGCGCGCGCTTTCTCGCGTCCAGCTGCCACCTGCCGCTGTTGGGCTCTCTTGCCGCTGAGGAAGGAGGATGCAAAACCTGGGGAACGGAACCGCAGAGCTCGGGGAGCCTTGTGATCTGATCCAAGGGGGAGCAGGGCCTGTTTTGGGGGCTGCTGGGATGGTCTTGGTGCCGAAAGTGTGCTGGCTGCACTGGTGCCCCGCGCCCAAGTGCACTTGATGAGGTGCAGCCAAAATTGTCTTCGTTCAGCACTACGTGGGGCAAAGGGTTCAAAACTCGTGTAAAGTGTTGTGGAGTTTGAAGGTACCCTACATGGAGGCCGCTGGATGCGGTCCTCTATCCCTCTGCAGATGTGTGTCTCTGTCCAGTGTCCATTCAGCGACTCTGCGTGGTGCATCCCATTGGACAGCTGCGCAAATGGAATGCACTGTTAATGGGAGGAGAGGTAAGGGTAGAGCTATTTGTTTGGGCACGCATTCCTGGTATGATCTGTGACAAGACTGCCCCCCTATTACATTGCGTTAAGGGCACAGTGGCAGGTGGTGGGGCCAGATCCAGGTATGGTTTCTTGTGTTGAGGCTGCAGTTGCAGGCCGGAACAAGGATTGCTGAGTGGTGCACTGGCCATGTGCTGCATAGTTATTATTGGATCAAAGCATGCCATTGAAAGCATAGGTGTTGCACCCCATTTGCGATCAGCTGTGAACAAATCAGATGTGTCTGTCTGCAGGCCCTTGCGTAAGCGATCAGTGGCAGATGTATTGGTCACAATGGTCTGCTGATCACCCTTGCACTAATTTTGGTCTGCTTCAAAGTGCAGCAGATAACGATGGGGCTATGTCGTTTTATTGTTGCATCACCGTGAAATTTGCGTGTGGTACTTTGTTCCTGGTGACTCTAGGGCATGACAGACACAACCGCACCTTGCCGCTTCTCTATAACACAATGTTTTGCTGCTGCAAGCAGCAGAACGATCGCCTCTTCTGCCTGCATGACAGCGCCGTTCGTGCCTTTCCACTGTGAAACCAGTCCTCTGAATGGACACCACACCTCTGTAGCTTGCCTCCCAAAATGCAAGGCCAGCTGTGCTCACAGTGGACAGCAGGCAAATCCAAACATTGGGCTGGCACACCTCTCTTGCACTGCCATTTGCTGCAATCAGTAGAGCAATGTACAAGACAATCAGCAGGTACTGTGATCACTCTAGCATGGAAGATCGGCTTCTTTTGCCTGCGTGAGCTGGCTGTCCCCATGTATGTGCACCATCGCGAAGATTGTGTGCTGGGCCAGCACAGATGAAACATCACTTGAGAGTGACTTCCTGGCTTGCAGTTTGCTGTGCTGTGACCCACAGGCGCATCAATCACAATCAGCAGCATGCATCAGAGAAAAGTGGTAGCTTGCAGCTTTGGGCCATTGCAACAAACTCGCAGTGCGAGTCTCACACCATCCTAGGTGCCCATCTCACAAGGCTTCCTAAGCCCTAGCGAATTCAAATCTGGCGATTCTTGAGGGAGGATGTATGGTTGCCCTCAAGGCTCCTCCAACGACTTTCATTTCAGGCGTGGAATATGGTACAACAACCATTTTGGTTGGATAGCACTGAACTATTAGCGCAAATTCTGGTTACAAAGACGGTTCCACGCATTGTGATACTTATTGGATGAAATGAATAATCATTCATAGTCATCCACATAGTGAGAACCTCGGCCCCCCTGATATGACTGCCGTTGCGATCAAAAGACTACAGTTGCGCGATCAAAACTCTGACAGTGTCAAAGCTTCTGCCTATCCATGCGCAGTGCCATCCCACGTCTCCCCTGTTCCGGATTGATTGTAGCACAGTACCGATGCTCCCCGGCATCAGTATCATGCTTTTCAAACGATCTGGAGTAGGGCACAGGCGAAGGACACATGTTCCAGTCCGGGCGTGCAAATTTCTGTAACCTTGCAAGCGTCTGCACAAGAAATCACCTAGTCTTCCTCATATTTGGGCACTCAGACTCGATGTCGTTGGTGCCCTCAAGTGCTCCTCTCTGCACCACAAGCAGGGGTCGTCCAGGGTACTCCATAACATCCAGCTTCGCTTTCTCCAATGCGCTTGGGTCTTTATGAGTCCCCACGCCCTTTTGCTGGGGATCCCTCGATGCATCCCAGCAGCTACCAATTCCTTTAATGTTTACATCCACTCCCGCTGTAACGCCTTTTTTTACCAATCGTCTCTGCTTCATGACGTGCAGTCTCTTCCTCCTCTCCCTTGTCCAGCCCAGCTTGCAAATCAGTATTCATCCAAATGCCCCAGATTTCTCATAGATTGTATTTGTCACCTGCGCAAGCCTGCCATTCGCCTTCCTCAAAACTACTATTGCCCTGCTGTTGGTGCAGCACCACCATCATTTAGAAGCCTTTGTCTGACAAATGTCGCCCCACGCACAAGAGGGCGGCACTACCAATGGGCATGGCTGTGTGCTGGGTCGTGACGATGGTCATCATCGTCACTGTCACACACCGTAACAGCACTGCTCACGCGCGCTATCCTAGAGCAAGGGCAAGAGTGTGCTTTCCCAATAGCGGTCGATGATGGCAATATGCGATGGTACACCTCAGATCCACATGTAGCAGGCACGTGGGATGGTGGGAGTCAACACAGCGCGATGGCAATTTCATGGCAAATATTGCCATATCTGCCACTCGTTTGGGCCAGATCATTCTCGAACGGTTATTTCCATCAAGCTCACATTAACTAATTCCTTCCACATGCTCATTGTTTACTATTTCTAATCATCTGTTCCCCACGGTGGTATTCTAGCCCCCTCCGAACTGGAGGTTGAAACCACAACATATCTCAGGCTGCCCCGGCATGGCATCAGGATGAAATCATCCGTATCACCCACACCTTTCCAAACATCAAAATAAGATTCTTTAGCTAACTAATGCTCCCTACTTTCCACAAATGGCCTCTTCAAATTGTTGTGGTCTTGCATTAGCGTGATTTTCCCCTCAATACTTCTCTATATCTTCGTGCATTGTGACTAGCGACTCTCCCAATGAAATGGTAGCCACAATTTTGTGGCAGGTGTGGCATGGGCAAGCCTCATACCACCACAGAAAGATACCTGGATGACGAATCTTCCATCACATTGCTAGTCACGCACTAATCCATTGCTCGCCCTATTGTGCTGAGCTCGATGGCAATGATGCACCCATGATCAGCAATTTTTAGGCCGGCATTGTAACCAGTGTCCTGGCCTCAACCTCTGATTGGCCTCAACCTCTGTTTGGCGCACACAGAAGCGCAAGCGTGGGCAACAATTTCTTGTTCATTATGAGCAAAGCAATATCTCTATTGTTGTCCCCGGGCACAGCACCATGGCAATCATCAACAACCTGACAGGTTTAGCAAACTTGAAAATTTCTGTCAACTCCTTATTTCCTTACCGGTCTCCTTAAACACCACCACCGCCACCCCTTGCGTTCCCACATGACAAGACATTACACTCACAATTGTACAATTGTCCATCACCTCATTGATACAAAACCCGATTCTCGGCCCACTTCAAAAGTGCATGTCGCTTCGCATGGAACTTAATGCCGCACTAATAGTGACTCACTCCTGAGTCCGCTCCCCTTTCCTTGTTCTCAACTTTCTCTACATCCCACAACTGTTGCGGCCCCGTCGGCAGCCGCTGATTTTTGGAGGCGTTGGGGTCGCCCTGCCCTGCAGCTCGGCTGTTGGAGGTCAGCCGGCCCTCTCCACCTTGAACGGTGGGCGTATCCGGGGCAGTCGCTCCTGCGGTCGCGCGGTGGGCCCAATGCTCGACGGGGATCGATCCCCGGGGCCTGCTGTCAGCGAGAGGTGGCGGCGCAGCGAGGCGGTGGTTCGTTGGCTCGCGGGAGGCCAGAGAGTGGGCCAGAACAGTTACACGAATTCACTGCATGCGCGCGCACAAATCCTCATGCGCGATACCTGATCGTGGGTCCATCGCTGTCACATCAAGACAAGACAAGTCAAATGCGCATCCAGGCACATCGTCACCGTCCACCGTTCAACTACGATCGACCCATTGTCCTCTAATTCCAAGCATCTAACCCTCGACCCCCTGGCCCGAAGTACTACAGCTTCAGAAGGCCATATCTTCGCCGTTTCTTAACGGATTTGGGCGTTTAAGGGAGCGTTGGAACTAGGAAGCTCTAAATAATACTCACAAAAGTCGATTTCCCCAATTACATAATTACCACTCCAGAAATGTCAAATAAGCCTAAACCCCAAGCAGCCACGTCACATTACTCCCCCCCTTGGGGTAGCTTTCACCCCCGAAAGCACACTATCCCATACTAGTGTCTTCCTTAAGCTTGTCCCTCTTGATCATCTTCTAGAGCTCTCTGGCATAGGTGAAATTTCCAGCAGGTATCCAGGAGGCATCATCAATACTCCACCCTGTCCATAACACTAAAAACTCCTTATGCCTCCTGCCACTAGGTCCTGCCCATCTCCATCGCAGTAGCTTCTCAACTTCGTACGTTTCATCAGCTTCTGGCTCGATCTTGGCATTGTCCGACTCCTGTGGGGTTGACCATCTGGACGATCTGAATGGTCATAGCAAATTGGTGTGAAAGATATTATGAATCCTCCACCCTGATGGTAGCTTCAACTCGTAGGCCACTGATCCCACCTGACGGACCACAGCAAATGGTCCTACAAATCGTCGCTTCAGTTTGCGAACAGGTGCATTCTTCAACTGTAGATGTTCTGTACTGAGTAGCACCTATTTCCCATTGTGAAACCTCTGCTCTATGCGCCGCTAATCGGCCTAACGCTTCTGCCTCTGCTGAGCCTAATGAACTGACTACATGGCCATTCTGAAGGTCTTCTTCATCCTGTTGACAAAGACGTTGACACCCTCAATGTTGGTCTGATCTACATCCTTGATCAGGTCCAACGGGGTCACTAGCTCAAAACCATAGTTT